ATATTTAACGCGTGGTAACATTACCCCCTAAAAAGCACAATAAAAGCATACTTATTTCCGCCCCCAGAATATTTGTGTTCGCTCGCTGACTTGGAATTGGGTTTCATTCAGCCTGCCTTGCGAGGTTCATCATATGAAATAGCCCAGTGGTTCCTCCTTGGTCTAGACGTTTCCTATGGAAAAAAAAAATTTAAGAGGACAAACCTCAGGCGCCGAATTGAAAAATTACGGTTACGCTGTCAGGGCTCGTCACGCTTTCCTTCCCCACGAAGGAAATGGGAAAGGAACCCCGGGACTCTCCCACATTCAAAGGTCGAGGCTCGTCGGAAAATTTGAATTAAGCTCGTGATCGAAGGAGACCAATCCGGGCCTGACTCGAACTTTATTTGACCCCTAAAGGATACCACATATATAACGGAATAGGTTCGATTACCAGCCGCTGTTCAGGAAAGGAGCCCGCGCTGGTAAACCGGACTCGAGACGAGCCTGAAAACGGAAATGAGAGCGTTTCTTTTATTATTATTATTTCTTCGAGCGCACCGTAAAAGACACTCTGACAGCTGAAAATAGTGGCGTTTCGTCATCAACGCCCTAAGAGAGACTAGAATCGTTGATTTACACACCTAAGCCAAACAATGAGCATCCCGGACCTTTTCATATGAGAGTCCCACCAGGGGAAGGAACGCGTGACGAGCCCTAAGAGCGTCTGAGTGGTAGGCTATATCAAGGTCAGTTTCGGGTACGTACGCGATCTATCGCGGGCGCAACGGAAAACCCACGACTTGCATGAGACCGCATGCATGAGACTCTTAATGCTCGTCTCTCGTTTCTTTCCTACGAAGGTTAAGGATCGCGTGTCTAGCCCTAAGAGCGTCTACGTGGAAGGGTACTTGAGACTGAGCCTACGGAAATATCCGCCCGCGTCGTAAAATTTGCCACAGGAGAAGACTGGAAATAATGAGTCAATGGCAAAGAGAAAGGAATGCAGAGGGCGGGAGATCTATATTAAAAATAATGATAATGATATACCTTTTACGGTAGGTAATTTAACGCTATTCTGTTCTTGACAGGGCTGTTCTCAAATACGACGACAAGACCATTGTTCTCGTCGCAACAGGGAAGGACTATGAAGAATTTCGATCTCATTTTGCTGGTTGGTGTATTTACTCTGTTCTGTTTTCTAACTATAGTATGAGCTATGAAGACGCGAAAACAGAAGTAAGAAAACTTCAGTGACCAGAGTAGCAGCATTAGAATTAGACTATATTGTGTAGTTTCCGAAATGGTCTCTGAGTTCTTTCTTTTTGGAACCCTTTAATTTATCGAGTTAAAAAACACAGCTCATTTAGAGGAGTACGCTGAGTTGGAAGATCGAAATTACAGTGGAACCCGCCTTACGGTCACGTCGTTCATACGGTCACCTCGTTACTCACGCCCCCCTTTTTTTAGTCCGGCGAAACGCCCATAAATTTTCTTATAAGTAAACCCTGTTAATGCTGTCACCTCTTGAATACGACCAACGGCCACATTCTGAAATCCTAACCTGTATAATCCTTTATAAATTTACCCCGTTTATACGGCCACCCAAATCAGTTTTCATCTTTCCATTGTTAATATTTTATGTAGTAAGTAAAGTTTCAATTTTTAAAAAAAATATATCTCCATTTCGGATGCCTATAAAATAGCAATTGTGTAGAGGTGAAATTCTGATGTATCTGCTAAGATGCCCCTCAATTTAGAGCAGTCATGAAATTTGACCTACCCCGTTAATGACCGTATTAACGGAGTTCCACTGTATTTAGCCTTCGCCTACGGGCTCCGCCACACCCCTTCAAGCTTTCCCCTTTCTCGTTCGATTCGGCGACTCATAAGGAAAAATACGGACCAGCGTTGAAATCGAAAACATTTATTTGACAAGTGTAAAGTAGCTGTTCTTCAATTCAAGCACGAAAACAAAAATTAAAAAAATTCACTTTTGTCTCAACAGAGAGTGATCGCGCATACGGGTTTGTCCGCATCGAAACTGGAGACGAACTTAGCAAAAGAGCCAAGTTCGCTTTCATAACATGGATCGGTGAAAGTGTCTCGGGAATACTCAAGGGCAAAGTCAGCACAGACAAGTCTATTGTGAAACAAGTAATCCAGGTGAGAGTTTAGTAAATATTACATGCATGCAGCTGACTCAAACAACGGAACATTCTCCAAAGTGGACTGAAGCTCATAAGGGCAGTGACAAAAATAAATAAATAAATAAATAAACAAACATCTCGCTTTCTGTGTACAATTCTTCCTCGCTTGAGAGACAGAATAGGGCATATTCGTATATATTCTCAGTACTGGACTAGCACTAGCTTGCTGCTGAGGCCGTACGGTGAGTCTTTTCAAATGCAAACGATCTTACCCCGCATGAGCCTCTATTTCAAGCTAGTTCCAGTCCAATACCGAAAATACAAATATGGCCTATTGCCGAGCGATGACGTAACTTTACTTGGAATCACACAGTTTTCTTATTGGTCATCGCTTGCCCGTGAAAATTGCAAACTGAGCAAGAATTGAACCAGTCAGAAAGAGAAACTCTGTACAAATTTTTATACAGCTGTGTCATATTTCAATTCACGAGCGAAAGAAAAAAAATGAAACGTATGAAGAAAAAAAGAAAAAGAAAACCCATTTGTTTAAAGGGAGAGTTTTACGGTTTGGCGCATATGAAAACTATGGCGCGTGCGCAAAAAGTGCTTTTCTCGCTTTCTTGCTTTGTTAAGCACAAGTGGTTCAGGATGAACAGACCACAATTTGCGCAAGCAAAATGACTGATGCCCAAAGGAAGGTGTCAACGGATTTACAAGAAATATCGAATGTTGTATTGAACATCGAATTTATTTTTTGGGCCAAAGGATTTATTCTGGAAACGCAAGCGACTTATCTACTAGTACTTGCATCTGATTTCAAACTAAGTGGGAGTCGGAACATACAAAAGACATTTAAAACGAGAGATGTCACCTCTATTACCACTTGTTAATTTCCGACTGAACCTAAAATTTTCAAAGGAAACTTTCGTGCAAGTCATGACTTCGCTTTCGATTGTTTCATAAAACGATGGAATGACATGCCTAACGTTATAGCTTGCGATATTTATAGCTCGGGATATTTTCGGGCGAAGAGCCGGTTTTCTCCCGCTCTTGATGTAAACTTTCGGGATCTCAAAATGTCGTGTTGCCCGAAGATATCGCATCATCCCGACTAACTTTCCCTGGGTCTCTGAGGATGAGCTTGCACATGCGCCGAGCCATGAAACTACTATGAAAAGCGTGAAAAGCTACGCATTAGATTCACTCCGTCTTTCCTACTTTGGTTGCAGAATTTTGCCGCAGAAATCTCGACCAGTGACAAGGAGGAGCTCGAACTGAATCATGTAAAAGAGCTTGTGGTGAAGGCTGGAGGAGCTAACTATGGCTCTGCCAAATAACTTGTACACTACACTCAAATAATTAAACGCAAGTTTCATCGCGTGCGGTGTTCCTTTTTTTGTACAAATTGTTCTTCAGTTTATTACACGGTTAACCGTTACATGTGTCGTTATTTACACACAAAGGAAAGCAATGTTTCATCATATCGTTATGGTGAAAGCAGTAGAACTATTAAGCAACAGAACTATACAAAGATAAATCCAGCCAGTCCAACCATGATTGTCCGTGTTCATCCGTAAGGTTCAATGAAGAGGAAGAATAAAGTCTAACACAACAATGAAATAATTCTTCCCTGTTTTGTCGATTAATAAGGTCAGATAAGCTTATTATATATTATAAATAATTATTGGATGAGCTGGTTTATCGTGATATCTAGAATGGTAACTAAGGGCTAGGTAAAGTGTTATCTGCCGGAGCTGATTGTCTAGACTGATTACTTTGTGTTTTGTTTGAAAAACGCTCTAAGGCCTTTCATGTGTCACATAGCGTATGCACGGGTCTCTCTGTCTGTCTGCCTGTCTGTTTGTGTGTCCGTGTGTGTGTGTGTGTGTCTGTCTGTCAGTCAATCAGTCAGTCAGTCAGACAGATAGAGAGTTAGTAAGAAAGTTAAGTTAGAGTGTCAGCCAGTTAGTCAGTCAGTCTTTCATGTGAGTCAGTCATTCATTCATTCAGACAGTCAGTTAGTCAGTCAGTCAGTCTGTCAGTCAGTCAGTAAGGTTTGCCACGGTCAGGTTATGGAATTTTATCCTCAGGTTGGCGCAATTTATTTTATTATATTTTTTGTATATACAAGGTTTTAAAATTTTGTAAGCCATCCTTATTTTATCCTTACTAAAAAAGTCAGGGCCTTTTTTCAAATTCTGGTGGGCCGGCTGGCAACCTTGTACAGACTAGTGTAGTCAATCAGTAAGTCAGTTGATCAGACAGACAAACAGACAGACAGACGTTTTCCTGTCAAATGATCCTCACATTCTCGTAGCATCGGAATCTTGAATCACCAGCCTTTGTGTAAGCATTTCTACATCGGTTTTCTTCGGAAATATCTGGCAGTGTCGGGATTTAATTTGAAGGCAACAACGGTGCTGTCAACTCGTGATTTGCATGGAACCCGGATGCACCACCGAATCTGGTCTGCATGATTAGGAAATGCAAAAATACATGAATTAGGAATCCCAGGTACATTGGCGGGCCGGCCTCGTGAAGTAGCTTCAAACTTGGTTCTTTGACTTCGCATCTACAAATTAAATCAGTAAGTGAGGGCAATTTAAGGTGGAGCGCTGGTAAGTATCCTAAGCAAACAGTCTTCTGTCTTAGCGCGTGCAACTTTCTTCTTTGCTCAAGCAAAGTTTGAGATATCTAGTACGAGAAAACGATGATATAGATGATATAGCTCTTCAAAGTTCCATTTAGTATCTCGCCTCGTTAGAATCAGCACAGTTATTAACAAACATCTTTCTTGTAGAGTGCAATAGAGCAGAGGCTAGTTCTCGGTAATATTACCCTCACAGTGTCGGGTAATATTGGGCTCTGGTCTTTTTTTGTTTTCACTTTGTCTCTACTCGTTACTAAATGAGAGACGTGATATGAGTGACGAAATCGGGGGAGTGGGTGATGGGGCGCTACGCAGGGACTAATATTATACAAACCATGTTTCATAGCCTACCTTATTTTCCTTTCGAGTGGACCGATATACTGGTCGACCAAACAGGCAGAAAAATGAGCCAGAATTCCAAGCATCAAAACTGGTACAAGAAAGTGATTGATCTTCACGTCTGGGTTTTTTAAAGGCAAGGCACGTGAGTTCACTTGTAAGAACATAACCATCAGGAAGACTATTGTGAGCCCGCGCATGGTCAGTTCAGGGCCTGCCCACTCTGGACCCACCCAGTGGTAGTCGAGATAGTTATTCTGAGTGACGGCCCAGAATTCTGCGAGAGCTGCGCTGATCATTAACCATGCAAAACCAACAGCACCCAAGCAGCAAACCTGGAATTAAAAAAAAATAGTCAAAATAAAGACGAAATGTTAAATCAGAAAATGAAATGACTACGTTCTTGTTGGACTTCTTGTAAGAACGTGGCCATTTCATTTTCTGATTTATTATTCACGGTTTACGGTGTTACTCCGCATGCAATAGACCATATCATGGGCTCCTGACCATATTCGCATTCTCGGTATTGGACTGGAACGAGCTTGCAATGGAGGCTCATGCGGGGAAATATTATTGAAAAGAGATTAATGTCATTTGCATTTGGAAAGACTCGCCACATTAGCCTCCGTTGCAAGCTAGTTCCAATACCGAGAATGCAAAAATGGTCTATTGGCAAAATATTATTGCTCTTCATTACAGGATTGATATCAGGAGAGACAAGAGTTCCTTTATAGTGCACTTACCATAACTTTCACGCTCATTGACTCCTTGTCCCTCTTGTCAAAACCAAGGCTATTCTTGAACAGAAGTACTGTTCCACATGCAATTATACAAAATCGAGTTAAGGAAATTAGCAGTGGAGCGTATGTACACAGGAAAATGCAGTTTGGGTACATACTGAACAGCGCTGAAGAACGGCGCGAGAAAACAGGAAAAACCAATCAGGAATCCGGCATTACGGCGCTGTCGATCTGAAGAGGTCATCCTCATACTGATTGCACTGTTCCTTTCGTTCTTTTCAAACTCAGCGGCTTCTGTGTTACCATCTGTCTCGGATTGAATTTGAATCGAATGCTCGAGAAACAGCAGCGAGCATAAGAGACGGAAGTCAATCATGAGCCCTATATACACTGCTTTTAACACGTCAAACCAGCCACCGTACACCGCTCTGGCCTCGTTCAAATGGAAGTCACTTTCCACGTTCACCTGCGTGTCCACCCATTGGATAAAGTTGAAAAACGCCAATATCTTGAAATAAAACTGAGCGTTTCCCCTGTAAGCTTCGCACGGTCTTGTGTTTCTCAACCAGAAGTACACGCCAGCTTGGATGAATTTCTGAACGATGAAAATCACATCATCAGTCAATAACAGCGGTCGTAAGTGCTTCAGCGTGTGTGGTGTTTCGTTCTTGGACGCTTGGGCGCCCAACATTATCATCAACTCAATTGTGTTCAAGGGAATGGTGATCATCGTAACGACCAATCCCATGGATGGCTCGTGTTCGCCAAGGGTTGGTGGCCTGGTTGGCTTCGTAAAGAAACGAATGGCGCCTAACAGAACGAAGGCGATCCCAACAACAAAGGCAGAGATGATGCGAAGATACAACATTATTGTCTCATTCCCTGACGTGTTGAATACATTTACAGTCAGCATTATCGCTCCGATAAGGAACAGTATGAAAGTTGAGTGCGACGAGGTCAGTTTGACGAAAGATTTGAAGCAAACGCTAAGGGCGCTTAACACGAGAGCAACCAAGTAAAACAGGGCGGAAAATGACGCAGTGATGACCTGTGAAGCGAAAACCGTGGCGTTCAAATCGTGACTGGTGTAATTCCCAACTTTGTAAACAAAGCTGCTTTTCAGTTGCCAAGAGTTGTTACATGTAATCATGTCGACTGATTGCTCTGACTGTAAAATGGAATCTGGACTTTCAACTGCCTTCATCCGTATTTTAACGGTCGTTACTGAAGTCATATGTTAACCCTGCTAAGGATGAGTTGTTTAAGAGTTAAGCTGCCTAAACTGAATTGAGTTCTTTGCCGGAAAAGTTCGTTGCTTTAAGGGCTGTCGTCATTTAAATAATGAAAAAACTGCCATGTAACGCAGGCACGTCATACATCAAGCATTAAGATCGTCTTAAAGTAACCAAGGCTTCTAAAACCCATGGATAGTAGAATGGATAGAAGAAGGGTCTCTTCTACTCTCCATGTAAAAACGCACGGTCTTCAATGCGCCTCATTGACCCTGGGAGACCCCCCAGTTTTTTTGGCAAAAGTTGACCTTTACCTTACTGCATGACAAGTTGTTTTAAAAAAATATGTACGTGAGAACATTTTGGGCCGGCGAACTTCCTTTATTGTTAAGCGGTTCGCAGCTGACACATCACGGATGCATAGGAAGAGGAAATTTAGCCGTTGGGGAGAAGGAAGTTAAGTATATGTTCAGCACCATTCATTTTTTTGGATTTGATCATTTTTTTGTGTGTTTGGTGAGATCTTCTTTAGGGAAGTATATTTTTGCAGTTCGTTATTTCTCAGAGTACGTGCATCAGATGGAACGAGAGAACTGTCGCGGCTTAGTTTATATATAGTCAGAGCTCTCAGTAATATTCAGACTTCAAAATAACCCCTTATTTTAGGCGAGGATAACTGAAACAAAGTGGATGGAAAATCATGGAGTGACTAAACATAACAGCGAAACAACCCATTCAAACGACGGGTTTACAGAAGCTGTTTCAGCATTTTAGACAGTCTGAAATAAATTCTTCCGAAAGATTACTCTGGGCAGAATCTTTCTCTTACGAATCGTGAATAAAAGCGCAAAAATGCCAAAGAGAAAGTCACGAATAAATTTCATTGCAGAGGCATGGAACGGAACTACATGGTGCTGCCTTCAAATTGACACCTGCTGCGTATTAAAACGATCTATTTCACTATGCATTACTGAAAGCTCTCGGAAATGGAAAATGGCGCACGTGTTTCATAACCCGTAGCTCACGAGCAGCCTCTCTGTTGTGTTGATCCCTCGAGCGTGACGCGAAAGAGAGCGTGAGAGAACAACATGGCCGCGTGCGGGACGCCAGGGTGGGAAAGAAAGCAAGAAGAAAACTTTCTTCTCGCGCGTTCGATTCTGTCTTGTCACGTGGAACAGACAGAGAAACAGGAACGGCTGCTCATCGTCTGGTTACAATAAACACGTGACACTGTTTGGGAGATTTCGAACAGGTGTACGAGAGTTTTGACGGACCCCCACCCCCGTAGTTTGCGACATTCAATTGTGTGACCAAATATGGTAGTGAGCACGTGTAGTGACTTTCTCAGAAACTGGAGAGACGAAGCAGCGAGTTGAACTGTGAGCATACTGTGAGTTTAGAGAGAGTTTTAGCTGCGAAATAAACCTGAAAACTAGTGAGTACTGTGTACCGTTGATAAACGGCTCACAGGTATTTTAACAATAAATTGAATAATCCTTAAATCAACAAAATCCTCAACAATTTACTCCAAGCCGAGAAAAACACCACTGAACGCAACTGATGAAGTCAAAATAATGATGAACTTTAAAGTTGCGGCAACAGTTGTCAAATTGCGAGCTCACAACACTTGCACAATTTAAAGGCAAAACATTCACTTACCTAATAAACATGGATAGTGCAAANGTTGCGGCAACAGTTGTCAAATTGCGAGCTCACAACACTTGCACAATTTAAAGGCAAAACATTCACTTACCTAATAAACATGGATAGTGCAAATCACACTTGTACAATTTAAATTTAAATGTTTGTATATAATTTATACTTTTTAGATTTTGTAATTGTAAATTCTATGCCTGTAATTCTTTACTGACTTTTTTTGATGCTTTTTATACTGGTCACCGATTAATACCAGTCAATCTATATCTTGATCGACTGACCGGTCTTTACCAGCATAAATAAAGTTATTATTATTATTATTATTATTATTATTATTATTATTATTATTATTATTAAATGCAATCTGAAACAGAACGTGAATTTTACGTCATAAACAAGTCAACAAGAGTATAGAACACACAACAATCGAAAAGACAAACGCCAAGACACATTACAAATGTGTAATTATTTAGTCAGTTTTTAATATACCGCAAAAGCCTTTTTTGAAAACTTGGTAAAATATATAATCTTTTACGTTAAAAAAGACCGTAAAAATTAATATGCGCTAACGGTAGATAACTATTGGTTTACCCTTATGAAAACTGTACAAATACGTTATTTAGATGAAAGTTTTTTCCCGCTTGTTTTGTACAAAACTATTTACATTCAAAGTAAGATAAACCATACAAAAGTAAGGAAAAAAAATGAAAAAAAGTACACTTGGATCAGAGTCACGTATTGAAGAGATAGTAGTAGTTGATGAATGAACTGAGTGAGTGCCGGGGATCCTCCAACGGGGTTTGGGACGGTAAAATCCCGTTTATCCGGACACCAACGGTCCACAAAAATCTGGGTGTATTAACGGGGTGGCCGTATTATGAGGTGGCTGTTTTTTTGATAAGAAAATGACCGACTAAGCTTTTGTTCAGGCCTAAAGTGTCCGTAATAACGAGGTGGCCGAAAGGCGAGGTTCTATTGTGTAAGTGATCGTATGAATGCAACTGTAATTAAGGATTTACACTACGAGTAATATTTGAAAATTGTTTCAAAATTGCACGACCTTTAGGTGAGTGCCAAACAAAATTTTGAAAAGTATCACGAGTAGTGTAAATCCTTAAGTAACTGCTAGAGCTTTCATCGAGTGTTCATTTATCATATACGTCTGAGAAAATCAGGAACTCGCGCGACAAAACCCCTGGCCAATAAAAAATGTCATGCATTAATAGAAAAGACGAATTTAAACTAAAAAAAATACTTTTGCTGTGGTTGAAAAATAAGTATTTATATATTTCCCAGTGTTTTCAAGTTGCTATCATATTCAGTTTGCTGAAAGTGAATAAATGCACCCGTACAAATATCTAAATATATATATATATATATATATATATATATATATATAACGCAACATACAAAGAGGGACGACAAATTTTGAGACTAATCTGGGTATAAACCAGCAGCCGCACTTGTTACTTCACATCTAAATGCGTTTTACGTTGAGAACAGCGGCTTATACACGTTGTAATACTATAATTTAGTCTCTGCCTAGCTAGTGGCGACAGAGTTCTCCAAAAACCTAATTCAGTTATGAAATAGTCGGAGAATAAAGCCGCGTCTTATCTCTCTAGGCCGCTTGGGTGGTACCGTCCCTGAGCTTCCCCACCCCCCGCCCTATCTGGGGGTTGACCCCAGACAGGAGAAGAGAGAGAGAGAGAGACTCTCTTATCTCGCTTACAATCATGGACAAAAATCTTGGGACAAATTTGCACTTTTGGCGCTTTTGCGCACACGCCAGACGCGAATACAACTTCACCTGCCTAACCTCGTCCCCACCCCTCAAACAATGTTGAAAATTACTACCTGCAGTTTCTTCTGACTTTCAACATTGTGTGGGGTGGGGAGGAGGAACAGTAACGCGGAAAACAGGAACACAGCACTTTTTTCAAACTTCAGTAGTAAAACACATACAATTCGTTAAGTGTCCCAAGGACTTTTATTCACGATTGTAGGTTCTACCTCTATATATTGGGCGGGAAAGGAATAATTCAGAGACTAGACTACTGCTTGGGCCCGGAGCGATGGAAGGCGGGTGTATTCGCAGCCTAACTATAAGCCAATTACCTTAAGTACAAGATAAATGAATATAAAAATAAACGCAAGTATTCAAACATCTAAAACACTTCCCAACTTTTCGGTTCTTTGGCTTTTTTCTTGGGCTTGAAAGTGAGGTCGTGCTGTTTGACTCGTTCTCGAGCCCGCTCTAGTTCAGAAATGGTCAGCGGATGGTCCAGAATGGTTCGAATTAGCTTCGCAAAGAACGGTATGTACGACATGAAACCAATAAAATCGATAAATCCTGAAAAAGATAGATAAGGAAAACAAAAAAAATGTAATCGTAATGTTTAGTACACTGAATTTTTTGTTACCACGTACTTAGCACGTGCTGTTGCGTGTACTTACCAAACTCATCACGTGCTCCTTCAAGCACTTCCTTGGCTGTCTGAAGGTCCGCCCCTATTTCCGTTTCCATGGCAGCAGATACCATGACTAGCAGTTCTCCAGCATCGAGTCTGTTGTCGTCATCTTCATCGATTGTTTTGAACATTTCCTACAGAGAAAGTGTAATAACGATACAAAATGTAAGTATTCGTGGTTTAGGTTTGCAACGCCCTCTCCGCGGTATCCGCGTCATCTACCGTAAGGCTGAAAGAAGTCCACTTCAAGCGATGGGTCAGGTAAAGTCTGCACTCGAGCCTAGTGGCCCAGCAGGCCGGAGCTTATCCCGGTTTCTGTAGCCCCGATACCCATTTATACACCTGGTTGGAGAGAGGCACTACGCGAGTCAAGTGTCTTGCCCAAGAACTTAACACAATATCCCCGGCTAGGGTTCGAACCCGGACCGCTCGATCCAGATACGAGCGCACTAACCATGAGGTCCGCGCAACCCAAAAGCGATCAGTCAAGTAGCAGATAATCGAGTCAAAATTACAGTCCGCTTTATGACTTTTTTTCCTATGGGAAATATATGGATGGACAAATCACTTCATCCCAACTTGTAGTTTACCTTGAATATGACAATGTGTTGAGCCAAATTTTCCAGATCCAAAGACAAAGAGGCATCTTCTGATTCAGTTCTGAAAAAAAAAAAAAAGAACGCGTCAATTTTTGCTGTTGTTGAATTTTTCAGCAGCAAATCAGAGAAACGGCAAATGTCTCACTTGATTCCAGCAATTCGATCATTCAGGGCGCAGATAGCTGTAAATTCTCTCTTGTCGATGGTCTCGTCCTTGTTTAAATCAAACACCTGTTAAAAAGTGAAACAAACGTAATATCGTGTCATATTAGTAATACGAATTAATACTTGGCGTTTGGTGAAAAGTTTGTAATTGTTGTTTTGTGCCTGGCCAATCACAAGAAACACAAATTATGCCACGCGGCAATACAAAGAGTGGGACATCCTACTAGGACGTGTTATATTTGGCTCTGGCTTTGCAATTTCATTTTCAATAGCAGGGCAGGTTCCACGTGGTTACTATGTAGCCAATCACAGCATGTTAAACTAGCGTCATGAACCAATCAAAACTTGCAGTGACCCGATGCAACCCGCGCCAAGCGCGGGAAAAATTCACGATTGGTTTGGTGTTTGGATGGAACTGGACGGTCAATATCAAACGAGTTATTTTGTTCTTCTTGATTCAACCAAACTCGACAAATGTAAGACCAAAGAGATGTTGTCTGGGTTTGTGTCTGATGGTCGTAACGATTTATTACCTGCACAAAGTGTTTGATATCGTGTCGAGAAACAGCAGGTTGCATCCTTAGCTTGAGTTCTTGTAGAGTGACGCTGCCATTTTTGTCCTTGTCTACTTCATCAAATAACAATCCAAACACGTGTTTTTGTTGATCATTTATAATACCGTATCGCGCATCCTAAGAGAAACAAATACATGCGATTATTCCTATAAATCTTCACTGTTTAGGACAGATTACTCTGGAGAACCAGTATTCTTCTCCATAAACGTATGAATCACAAAGAATGTCACTTACGGGTGTCAAGAATTCTTCGTCTTCCCATGCCTTGGCTTCCGTTATCTCTGTTAAAAATGTTCTGCGAGCAGGAAAAATACAGCAGTATTACAACAAAGCAACAAAACGACAAACTCCACCTCTTGACGGTGAATGATTTCCTCAGCGGAGAGAAAGCAACTGAGCCAAATATTTCTTTTTTTCAAAAACAGAACTTATATTTAATTGCTCTATCCACTTGATCAAAGCGACTAATACCCTCTAAAACTGTTTGACGAGATTACGTGACAACATTCAAGGGGCGAATTTTCAACTGATTGGATAATGCAAAGTCGAGTGGGAAACTATTCGCTGGGTATTCCTCTAAAGATTTTCCAGTAGGCGGCACAATATGTCCTTCCATTGTACCAACGACGGACAACACCCATCAAAAAGAACAAACCAGTTCGCATTAATTTCAGTCCATATACTTTCAGTACTTTCCTCGGTCAAAGGGCAGCGTTGAACAAGGAGGCTATTGGCATTGCAATATGGACCAAGAAACTTATTCCGGCTTACAGTGAACAACACTTTTAACTTACGACGAAAACTTCCGTGTTCCCTTCTTCGTACTTCCAGTGTTCGCAGACATAAAAATCCTGGCAGGAAAGAGATTTTTGTTTAGTACAAGTTCACGTCATAAGGAAGTGTACTTTTGCCTTGAAATGTTTGTTGTGTTTTACTTCATCGGTTGGTACGCTTCAAGTGTATTACTTATGGAGAGCAGTGGCGGATTCAGACCTCGAGCTAAAGGGGGAGAGGGCGGTTTTGTTTTGCTTGCCCTGCCGGCTTTTCTTCCCTCTATGATTTCTTCTTTTTTCACCCAAAATAAGAGAAGGGGTGGGGGCAGGACCCCTTATCGTAGATCCACCACGGAAGAGTATCTAAGATCGACACGAAACTGTTTTCGGTTTGCACTTAAAATGTCTTGTATACTATGAATGTCCTTGTTCGGTCTTTTGTTATAAATGCTGTTGTTGTTTTTCACAAAAGGAAATGCTCTTAGTCATAGAGCTTGACAAAGGATTTGAAATAAATTTGTAGAAATTATCAATTTTAGTTATATTGTACACTGATCCTAGCCAATGAAGATTTCAAAGCACGCTAGACTATAAAACATGTTTGGTAAAAAAAATGAAAACATTTGTTCTTGGCCACATATTAACCTGTTTGGCGGAGGTTTTCCGGGCCTGTATCGTGGATCTTCCTCTTCCCTTTTTATCCCAAGCCATTCATCTAAATATTTATTTCTCTTTTCCTCTTTAGGTTCACTAACATCACTCTCATCTTCTTTCTTGTCCTCGTTCGTTTCCACTTCCTTCCCTTTCTTTGCCATTTTCTTCCTCTCTGTACCCGGTTTTTGATCGTCAGGGCTCTTTCCCCCGTCCTTAAATCGTATTTTTCCCTTTTTGACTCCCTTTGCAGAGGAGCTCGTCTTTGCCTTTACAGCATGCGTCTTTTTACTCTCTCCATCGCTGGCACTCTTCGTTAATCTTCCTTTAACGGAATCACTTTCTTGTTGTGATTTCCTTTCCTCGAGTGCAAGAGCTTTCCGTGCTTCGAAGTCTTGTCGTCTAGTTCCTTTGTTTGATACGCTGTCAAACTCGTCCACCGAACTCGCATCTGATTCCTCCTCTGCCCATTTGCCATCGTGATCCGGACTCTCAAAATCGGTAGCAGATGAAAATGCCTTGTAACAGTAAAAAAGCAGCAAGGTTACAATCACAATCACGTTTAAACTGCATGTTTATAGCTTCACCCTCAATATCCCGCCAAAGCACAAAACTGAGACAAAATCGCGATCGTGAATTTCACTTTCTACAATACTGAAGCCACCTGAAGCTATACATGTACTGCTAAGTATTTCATTTGACTGGTCACGCACTTGCGTTTCGCCCACAGATTTAAAATTTGAAGAATACCTCGTAAAAGAAACCAAAAAAAAGAAAAACAGAAGTCCTGTTCAAATGCTTTCATTTAAATGGCCTCACATTTGGGTTCCATCATCTGACTAACATCCTAAGCTATCCACACTGAATAGCACAGTAAACAGTACGGTTAATTGCTAATAAGCTTACAGCAGAGCTGGCTTCTCTGGTTCCACTGCCAGGCACAGGCGAGGTCAACTGACCACCCGGGCTATCTCGGGGATTACTGCTTGGAAAGCTGCAAGAGAAAATAAAATAAATACCGACAGACTTAACATTACTCATCAAGGTAGCCTGCGAACAGGCTCCCGGCAAGCACATTAAAATTAAAGTCTACGGTCTCCCCTGCCCCGCGCCGCCCCCAACGCTTCGCTCTCCGAACTCTTCAGTTTCGCGCTCGTCGCGCTCTTCGTCACCGGGAGGCTGTTCGCAGGCTGTCATCAAGGAAACCCAAATGCGTGCATGGATACTGTAACTCCTCTTGATAGGATGTGAGTAATTCCATAGCCTGTGACCAGAGTCTCCATTGGGGTGAAGGGTGAAAAATATCGGCAAGCGCAAAAAATATTTGGGCGCGCGAACTGAGCCAAGCATGGCCTGGGAAGAACTTTTTCTTCCCCAAACCGCTCTTGGCTCGCTCCGCTCGCCCTTCACCACACTCGGGTCGCTCTACTTGCCGTTTTTTTTTTTTTTTTGCTCTTTACTCCATTTGGAAACCTACATCAAGTTACCAGTAAATGTTTTGTCTGGTGGAGGTCTCCTCACTCTGTTTAAATTGTTGTACTTGTATATACTTCTTTTTGATTGTGGAAAATTAATGATAATGATGATGATAATGATTGTCATGTCCCTCCTCCCAAAAGTATTTGCTGCTACTAATCCATACTCTCAAAAACCTGCAATCAGCCTTTACTTACTTTGCATTTTTTGCCTCATTGTAGTTAACTAACTGTTTCTGCTCTGCTAGAAGCCTCAACGTCAACAGATCTGTGTTATCCACATCATACCTGCAGAGGATTTGATTAGTTACTATAAGTTTTAGTATTACTTAGAACTGAATACTACATGTACAATAAACTGAAAGTATGATAAAGACATATTACATGTATATCTGCTGCTTCTCAAGAACACTTTGTAATCAATATTTAACAAGGGAACCAGAAACCAACCCTAACTGTTACCAGTTGGTACTAGAAGAGTAAACTGCAAAAAAGGTTCTCTTTTTTTCTGAATCTAAATTTAAGTCAGCAGAAAAAGGTCAGCCTGATCCCAGATATTTAGAGTTTAAAAAGTCACCACGTACATAATAGCTTTAACTTGTATGAGTTGATGTTATTGAGAATTATACAATAAAAATAAAACTGCATAGAACAAGAAAGAATGAAGAAAAAGAAGCAGGTTCAGTGGGTAGATTTTTAAGTAAGTGTTCTTGTTGAGAACTAGCATTCTGGGAAGCTCAAGGTAAGCCATACATGTACAGTGATCTAGTAGGAAGTCATAAATGTTTACCATCCAAGGAAAATTACAAACTCAGCCTTAACAAAATAACTTTAAGCTGACCTTCCCTGTAATGGAATTTTGTTTCCAGCCATATAATACTGTTTGTCAACTCTGTGATGAAGAATCTGCAAATTACAAAGGTTAAATTGTATTCAGTATTAGTGACATCAAAATCCAAATTATCCAAAAAAGATACCAACAGTCACATAGTTCTTGCTGCTTTAGTATGTACATATATGTAGCATTGATGAAGCACAATTGACAGCATGAGCATGACAGTGTTTGAATACAGTGTATCTGATTTAATAAGCATACTCTGAATTTTTTTCAATTAATTTAATAATTATCATTTCTTTGTTTTCTTTGTTTTTCATTTTAGTTTCAATTGAAGAGATAAATTAACCACTCAAGACAGTACTTGACGATATTTCCAAACTTCTCAAAAACTCCGCTATGCAACATATTTTCAATTCACTTCTTAGTGTTTGGAAACGTGGTCAAATACAGTCTTTTATGTTTGATATATTACCTCTGAGGTTCTTTTTAGTTTGCGGCAATGCTCCTTTGCTTGTTCCTCTGCCTTTAATCTGTCTCTCTGTCTGCTGTATAATATTCTAGGACTGTTAACAAATTACGAGTGAAAATTTAAATATACATGTACAATATTATATTTAGAGAATATTCTGCAAGAAAGTGCATGCTAAAAGCTGTACATGTATGTATTTCAAGAGCTCTATAGGATCGCAATGCATGCAAAAAACTGCAACCACATAGCCATCTGAATGCATTGTGTGCAAACTGTATGCTGGCATTCCATAGTTTGTTGGAGTCAGTAAGAAATTCAGTGACTATAATTCTGGATCTAATGAAGATGAGCCACACACACATGCCACATACGAACAAAATAATTATGAAACATACTTTTCATTCGTCCAAAATCTTGATGGTACACCCTATGTGAAAATTAAACCAAGCAAGAATCAGATTAAAATATATATTGTAACTCCAACAGTACATATGTTTCAGTATCTCTGAAAATTATGCTTTTATTTCATCTAAATATATTCATTATACATGTATTCCACTGGCCCCATAGCACTTAGTTAATAAATGATTCCAAATTTTATCTATAAAACTTAATAATGCTGGACACAAGAAATGATGCCGAAACTGTTGCAACACCAGCAGTTCCTGAGAGATACTTACATGTAAAAGGGGGAGGGAAGCAAACTATAGAGGGGTCCATCCTTGCTTGAGGGAAAGGGTGGACTAGGAGTGAAGGGGGGTTATTTTGTGCACCATAAGGGAGGGGAGGGGGAGGTGGGTCCCTTCCTAGGTTAGTCACTGTTCAGCTTTTCTTTATATTACCATGTGATTGCTGTAGGAGATTGGAACTGATCTTGTAGTCCCGATGGGAGAGGGCGAGTATTTTCTGCTCAGTGGCATGGATGGAAGAGAAGTTGTCTTGAACTTCACAGTAGGCCTGTAAGGATAAAATCCAACTCATTATTAACAAATGGATTTAAAATGTTTGTTACGTACATTTAATGATAGGTTTTCAAAATGCAGTTCAGTTATGCATGATTGATACCTCAAATTAAAATGATGTGTTATACTTAATAATTAATTTGATCCCCACATTGAAACTGGCTCATAACATACAATGTTAAATTAATTATACCCCAGTCATACTTGGCTAAGAGGGCAGAAAACTTTTTAGTTACTTCACTGCAAACCGCTGCTCAACGTGCTGGCAGGTCAAACATGTACTCGACATCACACTCAAACATGTAATGCTTTATCTGGTTTATTTATATGGGTTATTGACCAAGTGTTCGGTCAAGATGGCTGGATATTGGGCAAGTTCTTTTTTTGCATGTTTATGGCCCGAGACAGAGTCGAGGTGCATAAACTTGCAAAAAAAAGAACAAGGCCAATGTCCAGCCATTTTGACCGAACAAGCTTGGTCAATAAAGGATTTATTATATGGCTTTTGGGGAACTTTTTCTTGCGGGACACGGCAGGTAGTCACGAGTGAGCAAGAGAGTTCCATCTTGCCCACTTGGGTAGCCAATCACAGTGCAGGATTTGATTCATCTTGCCCGCTAACAGAGCTGGCCATATAATAAACAGACTTACTGAAAACTATATCTTGCATATTCACTCCTTGTTGAAGATTTCTCAGATTCAACAGAATTATTGCCACTCAAAGGCTGCAAAAAATAATAATAAATAATAAATAAATAAAATTGAAAATAAATATAAAAAGAAGATTAACCGTTTAACCATGTTTATTTGGTATGAGACCTCAACACCTGTTAGAACCTTATGGGCTACCCTGCTTCAAATAAGGAACCCTCTGGTGTAGGTGCATGCATCAGTAAGTCTACAAAGTGAAATAATAAAACCCATGACTGTGTAAAACTACCTGGAGGGAGAGGTCACGAGCTTCTAAGTGTCCAGGTGCAGACACCACGCTATGTACAGGACTTGCCATCTTGAGCCTGTTGACTGGTGATTGGCTCTTGTAGTTTGTGTGTCGATAGTGTGTCTGCTTCTGCCATTCTTCATTTTGTACTTTAACTGAGGGTGAGATGATCCTTCTGTAAAGCTGAGTTACACCATAATTATCTGTGAAGGGAAGAAAAAAAGCCAAATTTAATGGTTTGTTACTGTAAGGTGACCATGCAATGGGGGACGGGGACAAGAGTCACCTATGTAAATCAATGCTCTCTCATTTAGGGAGGGGGGCAGGGTTGCCAAAGTGTTTGGGCAATTATATAGTGATGGGCAATTATATAGTGATGGAAATTCAGAAACAAGGTGCTGTAATAGCAGCTGACATCACAATCTAGAAAGGACTTGTGTGTTGTCAGCCCTCCCCCTAACCCTGATATTTCCTCACAATTTGAGAATCTAGAATAGGCTAGGGGAGGTCAGATAAGAAACAACCATCTTTGCATGCAAGACTCGGAAGTCATCAGTGATAAGGAGATATTCATGCTATTATGGAGGCCTATTTCCAAGCAGTTGATTAGTTGGGGAGCAGTGAGAAAAAAGGTGAAAGATAAAATAGATGAGCAGTGCAGTGTAAGAAAACAAGAGAATACCAATGAGCATTTTTTTTTTTACCATGATACATGTATCTCTTTTGCAAGGAAGATAGGGCCCTGCGACATGACTGCTGATTTTCAATCACTATCTCAAGCTTCTCCTCTAATTTTTCTCTCACTCTTTTTTGCACTGCTCCCAGTCTAACTTAGGAATGAATGCCTGGGACAGGCAACAGTTTAGATCCCACTATAGATAAATTAGTCAATGCTGTGGAGTTTAAAGGCAACTGCAATCAGTAATATCTCAATTGAATGAAAAAAGAGAAAGGAACTTGGTAGCTCAGTCTCCATAGCAACTGTGTTCTTTCTGTTAATTATTTAATTTAATTGCTTTCAGTTCACAGTTGTTGTTTAGCTCTGAACTGCCTAGGTGGTTGAAACAGGGGCTACTTTCTGGGGTTTAAAATTTGACAAGAAATTGATTTAGACAAAAAAAAAAATCATTCCATCATTAAACTGATGGAATGTTTAATCAACAAGTCAACTATACAACTAGATGAACTGTCTGATATTAAACATTAATTATGAATCGATAGACAGAACAACACGAGACAGAAAAGTTTTGAATATACATGTAAAGGAATTCTATAAATATAACAATATCTTTTGTATCAAGACAACAAATTTTTAATTTGGACAAGATTAACTTTGTAAGCTAATAAATGCGGTACGAAAGTTTACCAACAGAATCAAAACAGAGTAAACTTACCCATTACTTGTTTGGCTTTTTTCCATTACTACAAGAACAACCTCAAGTTCATTTGTCAAACATTCCGAGGCAAATCAGCGAAGAATGACCCAGCATGATTCTTTCCAGCGAACAGTTACAAGACTAGTGGCGCTCGCATTCTGACGTTGAAATCGAAGGCCACAATAGCACAGTGGGGAAGGAATAAACATTGATTTCTTGAAGCAGCTGAAAATGATCGTAAGATTGCGTCCTTACAAACGATATAAATAAATTATGTTCAACGCAACTAATTACGGATTGTCTTGGAGATCACAGCTCATTAGCATGATAAAATATTTCTGTAACGCGCGCGTCCAAGCAACGCAAAGTTCTCATCTTTCATTTGACGCGGTTACTCAGCACGCAAACCAAGATGGCGAACGCTAAGCGAAAGGTGGAGTAGAAAAAAGATTCGTATTGTTTTCCACTTCTGCCGTTTGGTGCCCGTATTTTCTTTCATTGAAGCGAGCAGGAAGTTATATCTTTTTTGTTTGTGGCTGTTTGCAGATCGGAGGAGAAGATACGAATATTACGTTCGAAGATCAACAACAAATCAACACGTTTGCACGGAAAAGTGCGAAACTTCAAGAACTGAAAGATGAAATTGAGGAGAAAAAGGTTTGAAAGGAAGTAAATTCCAGTATAATTTCATGCATGCTGCTGGCGATAACCAGAAACGGTTGCTCTTCAATGCTGTTTTAATTGCATAATGTAAATCAACACTTGTCACGTTCAATTCAATGCTTTATTTAATGTAATGCGCGCATGAAAATGATAGAAAGAGTAGCAAGAGCTTTCTGGTTGAACACCGCCCTATGATGAAGTAAATGGTAGCATAAAGAAATTAATTCAGCTAAGCTAGACCTACATACGTTACATCCGGCAACATACATAGACTACATTTGCTCTTGCTATATAGCAACAAAATCAAATCAATTCATATCCGCCTTCTCGGCCCCCCATCCCCCGCTACTCCCCCCACCACCTCCGGTTGAGGAGATTTTCTGAAGGACGTGTGAAAGTCATTTCTGAGAGGTTTCCTCTATTGGTATCATTTGATCTTTTGATTATTCCTGAGACGTTTTGACAAAAGTTAGCTGTCTTTAAAGACATATATTTACCATCTTTTTCTCTACCAAGGACGAGGGGGTGGGGGGCATGATGATGTCAGCGACTCAAGACATGAATTGTTTTGAAATATTTTTACAGAAAGAGTTACAGAATCTTGAAGATGCCGGTGATGAGATAATGCTATTAGATGATGACACAGCACCAATTCCATATCCTTTTTCATTGATGCCTGTCAGACTTTTATTAAATAGTCTCCTAGACTGTGAACAGTGTCTCTTTTCCTTGAAAATCCGTGGGGAAGAACACGAAACAAGTAAGCATCTAAGCATGACTGTGAGCGTGACGTGCGAGTGGAGATACCGTGATCTGCTAGTAGTGTGTGTGTTGGAAGACGAGCGAAAAGAGAGTGCAATGGTTTCATACAACATTTGGGATGCCCGGCACTCTGGTGATGGAGTAATTCTATTTGTCGGTCTACAAAATTATGACGCACATCTGTCAGTAACCTTTATAAGTGACATGCAGCCCAGGCCATACTCTGTTGTAATATCTGTCTCTGACGGTGTGACTCCTATGATTCAAGACATTTGCCGCTCTATTTTGAATTTCAATCTTGCGACTTTTTTATTGGTTTTATGCTTCACACTTGTTTTTGCCAGACTGTGGCAAAGGTAGAGTAGAGCTATTTGAACGAGCAGTATAAAAATTTTTGAGATGTCATAGGTCTGGTTGCAGCCACAATATGTCGAACCATTCATCACATCTCACTGCATAGAGCTTTGATTGATTTGGGTGAAAAATTAGACACCGGAGTGTCATATTTAAAAAAAGGGCGGAGATGTCATTAATTTGACCTGTCAAAGTAGCATCCAAAGTGTTGTACCATTGCAGTCTCTCCTTTCGCTCGTCTTCTGACACCTGCACTACTAGTGGCTCGTGGCATCATGGCTCGCCACTTGCACGTCGTGCTCACAGTCATGCTCATACGCTTACTTGTTTTGCGTGCTTTCCCGTGGATTTTCTAGAAAAGAGAGACTGCTCGCAGTCTAATAGTCTCCTTGAGCAAGCCATTGGGCTTTATACCTTGAGTTATTTTTTGCTGAAATAATTGATACATATTGGTACATCTATCAGTACACAGTGAAAAACATCTCATGGGGGAGTAGTACAAGGAGAGATCTAGGCCCCCACCCCCCCTCAAACCCCTCCTCTTGATATCCTTATTGGTATAACTGCAAACTCAAACCTCTTGACACAAATAGACCTCAAGACTTCTTTAATTTACTGATGTGTGAGAAAGTATGAAAAACTGTTTGAAGCAACTATTTCAGCAATTAAACACTGAGACCACAATGTTCATTGACTATTATTTTGAGCTTTTGTTTTTGTTCTCACTTTTGGAGAAATTCAAAGCTGAAAACTGAACAAGAGTACTTTTCCTTCTGTGTTCATTTGTTAGATGGGACAGAATCTCTTGATAAATGTGCTCTATTATACAAGTTATATACCCTTGCATGTGAAAGATATTTTAAATTATTTCTTTGTGGTTTAGATTTCTTAACATTTTTTACTTACAGAATAGGGGAAATTTTTATTCATTTATCCTCTGAGGAAACTCAAGAATACCTGGAGAAGGCAAAATCTAAACTACAAGAAGAAATGAAGTCCTTAGAATCCCAGTCAGGAGAAATAAAAGGAGTTCTGGGTGATCTGAAAGTGAAACTTTATGCCAAGTTTGGCAACAACATTAATCTGGAGGCAGAAGAAGAGTGAACTTGTTGTTAGTCTTGATAGTTTTCATTTCTTTTATCAGTAATGTATTTAAAATGCAATAAACTATAAATTGTACAAGATTTTAGAGGCTATCTATTTTATACAAGGCTCACAAGGCTCACACTTGAGCAGACCCTTCCCTCAGTCCATTGGCTTGAAGGAGTACAGGCCTGCCATTTCTAAGTTGTCTTTTGTATCTCTGTCCACCCAAGTCTCAGTCATTCATATGAAAATACATGTGATTAACCTGTCTAACTTGTGGATTCATTTTCATGCAAATTAAACTCATTTCCATTTGAAGAGTTTTGTGCAAGGAGTCATTTTGAAACTTTTTCCTCTTGCCTTCCTAAACTTACAGAGAAGATTGATCACTCAATGTCAAGATGACGAATTTTCAATATATTTTGACAGTATAGTAAATGGTTACAGTATCTCCCTGACCCTGGCCCTCTGGTTCCAAATAAATTACAACTGAACCTCATGACCTTGGGGTAGTCGCCTGTGAAAAGGCTCCAGCTTGGGGGGTCTGCATGACCATGGCTGGAAGGGCTGAGAAGAAACTGGCCGAGAGTGAAGTGGTCGAGGGGGGAATGGGGTGGGGGTTGTATCCTCTTCCTGCTTTCTCTTCGCCCCATCCTCGACTAGAGAGCCTGTTCACAGGCTATCAGGGTGGGGAAAGAGGGTCCCTTGTGGCTTGATATATTCTAACTCATCACTGGCCTATCATTACCTTATGCCGACTGTGAGAAATTGTCAAAAGAAAAAAGAAAAATTGTCTACTTGGTAATTTGATATTTGCCCTGTTCGTTGTCAGTACTGGAAGTACATTACGTTTCCCGTTACATGAAGTAGATTGTGTTTTCGTCCCAGTTTTCCCTCGGCCGCCACAAGAGGGACATCGGGAGAAGAACATGAGTGGAAGAAATCTTTGTATTCGTGCGGTGGAACGGTGCAAATCTTGCTGGTTTCTTTTTAATCAGCGTCTCGTCACTCCAGGAAAGGTAGGATTTAACAAAGTGTGCGCTTTTCAGTGCATTTTCTTGTATTCTAGAGATGCTATGTCAGCTGTTATTGACCCATCATCGGCAGTGCGTCGTACATGCGTGCAATCTTTGTATGGTCAAACAAGCATTTTGAGGCGTAATTTATTAGCGAGGATAAATATTGAGTCTGGAGGGATTAATCTTTTAACTGAGTACGTGTCCTGAGCTGAATATATAAACTTGTATGAATTGCATCGGTCAAAAAAATTTATTCTACGTGACAAAGTGCCCTCCCTCTCTCCACCCTCCCCCCCCCCCCCCCCCCCTCTGAAAAAGAAAAAAAAGAAAAGCGCAACCTTTTCCTGCTACTTTGATGAATAGTCACAACCAAGTTCTACATAAAATCTAACCGGAAATAAAATAGCATTACTAGTCTAGTGCTTGCCATGGGATACAGGTAGTTGAGGGGAGGGTATTCCCTCAAGTTATTTGTTGCCTTACACGCATGAAATCACATCACATGAAACCATATCAGCTTTGGAGCAGTGCATAAGCTTGCCCAACTGCAATTGACAATGGCCACTGCCACAAGTACATTGAAATTTATATTTTTTATATAGTATCTCTTGTCACAATCACAGGGCGACTTATTTTTTTTTCTCTTGGGCAACACTCTCTGAATATTGAAATCATTTTGTACAATGTTTTCCTACAATTTTGTCTCAACATACTGTTATTATTTCATAATTAGCCAAACATGACATAATCATTCACATACACATTGATGTGACATGTAACCAGAACTGGACATGTATCCAGAAATATCCATGAGATTCATTCACAGAAGGTTTTTTGTTTTGACCCTTCCCCCACCCCAGTCCCTTTTTTCAGTGTCCTTGGGTATAGATATTTTCCTGAACGACACATACATGGATTTCTTTATAGAACTAGAAAAAAGTGTGCCCTCTTTTGTAGGTTCTGAGTTCCAATTTTAGTACCAGCCATCAAGAACCTTCCGACAACATTCACACAACAGAGAAGTATGGCTATGGGCAAAGTGGATTAGATCAACGTGACAAGGAAGCTGCCGGATTGTTTTATCTCAGTACAGTGTATTTACCTGAACAGCTAGAGAAAAATCTTCAAAAATATCTCAAAAGTAAGGGGACTTGTTTATCATCAAATCATTTTTAATTAGTACATTCTGTTTATCAGTCGTTCAGTATGCTGATCTACAGCTGCTGTGGCCAAAGATTTCAAATTAAACAGGACTGTCAAAAGTAGCTAATGTTTATGTTGAAAAAATTGATTATTTGAAATCCTTGTTTATTTTTTTTTAGAATTCCCAAAGAAGGTAGTTGAAAGTGATGGAAGAAAACTTGCAAGGCACATTCGAAATAGAGGACGTCCAACAGAGCAAACATGGCAGAAATACAGAGAATCTAAAAGACAGAGAGATATACTGGCAGGTTTGTAATGTTTGTTTTGCAGCCCACATGTATACTATAGTGTAAACCTCTTCCCCAGCATTCTGACTTCACCCCTCCCCTCTCAAATACTTTCCCTAACAAGTTCACGTTATTGATGTTGACCATTACAAACCTTTTGTTTTTTGCAAATTGCTATATTTGAACATTTGATGCTACACTGTCATTAACAGCAAGCCAAGTTAATCCTGATGACGTTTTAAAGTTGGAAAACCAGCGAGCGGAAAGTGTACTTGATGACAGTGGTGATGTAAGTGAGGATGAGGAATATGAAGATGATGAGCAAGCTGAATTGACAGAAACAGACAATGAGCAAGAAAATGTTGACAGTGTGGGTGTTGAAGAGGAAGAAAATGATACAGACATAAAAACGAAGGAGAGTGATGAAAACAGCACTCCTACTGGTAATAAAAAAGCAAAGGTGACACAAAAGCCAAAGGGCACTGAATATAAACTAATAAGGTAAGATCAGCTACTGACAGTAGTGTCAGTAATATTTCAAATACGTATCACCACCCAGGGAGCTAAAAGAAGTGTGCATAATGGAGACAGGGCATTTGTTATATTTAAAAGCCCAAAGTACAAGGTGCATTTACACATCATATCACAAACCTACTAGCCTCAGCCTTTTGTATTTAGTTAGATATTGCAAGTCAGAGTTTGTATTACTCCTGGTTAGAGGAAAGTACATGTTCCACAAGAGTTATTGTAAGTTCCTTGTCCAAGAACACAACAGTAACTTAGTAGCCCATGCATAGCCATAGCCACCCTTCAGGAAAAAAGGTTTTCTTCATGGGGTAAGTACACAGATCTACATTTAGGCCAAATGTTAACAAGCCGGACAGGTGCCTCAATCCAGAGTCCAGTATGCTAACTATTAGGCTACTGCGGCTTCCAGTTTATACCCACCCCTGTTTGTGTGCTTATTACATGTATTTTATCATGTTGATTAGTTCAAAATTGTCTTCAGTAAATTTCCACGTTAATGAATAAGTAATGTTTCAGCTCTCAAGTCCTGTTGTGTTTATACTTGTTATAGATATGGTGAAAGAGAAGCTGCTGCTTATGCAGCAAGTCGCATTCCAGCTAGTTATGCTGCGACACTCAGAGTGTTTCATGAAGTAAGTAAATATGATACTTACTGATACAAATTGGTAAACTAGGTTCAAAAAACAATATTAGGAAGCTTTTTGGTTCAAATGGCACCTTATGTCTCCTCATTGTTATTTAAAAAGTGTTCATCAAAAAGAAATTGCTTGGCTAATAATTAGCAAGGACAATTTCTTATTTTATAACGAATTGTTCCCGTTAGTACTATATGAAATGGAGACAAAAATAGTCAAGACTTTTTGTGTTGAGCAGTGTGAGCCATTTTGTTTGCCTTCTTTTCAAAGTGTAATCACTTAATTATCTATTAGTCACAATTATATTGTTTCAAAGTTGGTTTACTTAATAGCATGCATGGTGAATATAATCATTCAACTAAAACATCCAAAATCTACTCCTGTTAATGGCAACAATAGTTATTATTAGGCAGTCAATAGAATAAGATTTTTGTTAATTATTGTAACATTAATAGAAAATCTGCAAGGGTTAAAATGGTCAGTACACATGTGAGTGGTACGTGTATAATATGAAAATGCCTGCATTTCAAGAGAAAAAGTCTACATTGCTTGTTTAACCAATGAGATTGTCAGAGCTATTCAGTTCAACCTGACTGTACTTGGAACAGAAAACTAATAATTTAAATGAAATTAATGTACTTAATATTTGGTTACATTTAAACGTTCGTGAATGATTGTCTGCTTGGTTTTTATTGTAATTTTAATTTATTTCATAGATAAGTCGTCGCGAACCAGACTTCAAACCAGAAAATCTTTTAGATTTTGGTTCTGGCTCTGGATCAGCAACATGGTATGATTTACTACATGAGCTATACACGACCACTGTTTATCACTTCATTATTGTATGTCATGCAACATGTATCTTTTAATTGGCCCTCCTCGTGTCCCTCTGTGTTTTGTCAGACATGTATGGTCTTTTTTGATGCTGTCTGATTCCTGTTTAGCAGTTACTTGTACTGTACACTGTATGTATACTGTATAACTTGTGTGACTACTATAATGTGTATCCACATCAACCTACAGGGCGGCCCACGAGAAATGGGGAGATTCCATCAGGGAATATCAGTGTGTAGATGTGTCTCAAGACATGAATAATCTATCTGAATATCTCCTTAGAGGTACATTTCCTTTGTTTTCATATGCTTGGGATCTATAACTCTGTAGGTGACTGTATGTTAGATGTAACTGTTGACATATTCACATATCCTGGTATGGTAGATTTGATTGTTATTTTATTATTCAGGTGGTGAGGGATTGAAGCATGCTCTCCATATTCCAAGAGTTTATTTCAAGAGATTTTTACCAGTTTCCAATATGGTAAGTATGTACAGTTCTGGATAATTTTAAAGTAATCAAATGCAATGTCAGGGAGGGTTGGGTCCGTGACAAATTGACCTGCTCAACTTTATTTTCAACTTCAACTCAACTTCAACAAGCTCAACTTTACCAACTGCTTTGAACTTGTTTTTTTTGGATTTCAAAGATATTTTATTTTTGCTTATTTATTGTCAACAGATCACTTACAATGTTGTAGTGGCTTCCTATGCCCTCAGTGAAATACCAAAAGCATCCCTCAGACAAATGGCAGTACGAAGCTTATGGGGAAAAACAAGTGACTTCTTGGTGAGCCTATACATTTACTTTTTTTCTGCAAAATTAACGTTTGTACATGTAATTTGTGAAGTGAAAAGAACGATAGTTTACAAAGAAATGCACCACGCCATTGCCAAACTCTAAGTTTCTAAATATAATATTGTTGAAGCCTCATTTACCTCTTTCTGTCAGTTTGTTAACCAGGCTGGTAGTAGACTGTTCACATTTAGAAATAAAAACAAGTTGTTGCTGTGTAGCATTTTGAATTGAATTGCATTTGTTTAAGTTAACAAAAAATGCTTATATGTGGTATTTTTACTGTTTGCAGCCTCTCTATTTTTCAACGCACATGAAAGAAAAAAGCGAGCTTAGTGAGCGCCAAGCATGCAGGGGTGGGGTGGGATGGAATGCACACAGGGGTGGGGCGGGGCGAGTGAAGCGAGGCCCATCTGTGCGTTCAACGATCAAATAAACTGCGAGAAAATAGAGAACTGTGAACAGCCAGCGAACAGAACTGTGAACAGAGCTGTGAACAAAACTGTGAACAAAACTGTGAACAGAACTGTGAACAGAACTGTGAACAGAACTGTGAACAGAACTGTGAACGGAACTGTGATCAGAACTGTGAACAGGCGATGNGAACAGAACTGTGAACAGAGCTGTGAACAAAACTGTGAACAAAACTGTGAACAGAACTGTGAACAGAACTGTGAACAGAACTGTGAACAGAACTGTGAACGGAACTGTGATCAGAACTGTGAACAGGCGATGAGTGAATCTTTGCCCTCGTGCATTCTATCTCACAATTTGTACATTGATGAGCATCTTAATGGCAGATTTCCACTTTTATAAATCATTACTTGTCAGCTGAATATCGTGATGGCCTTTGTGCTACATACAAGTTAATTTTGCACGCTTTCTTCCCACCTTTGTTGATTACAGGTTATTATTGAGCATGGAAATTCTGAAGGGTTTGAAATTACATCTGAAGCCAGAAACTTGGTGCTGAAGGTAGAAAGAAAAAAGCTTCTTGCACACTCTGTCACTGCAGTTTTCCCGTTATAAGAGTATCATTTTGGGGGAAATATTTATTTTTCCGTGGAAAACTCAGTAGTAAAATTAGTGTGTGAATTAGAGCGGTTTTCAATTGAGTGCTGCAAAACCAAAAGCAAAGTAATTTCATCTCTAACCAATCATAAAGGACACAAACGATCCAATGAACCAATCAGAACTTGAACTAAATACATGTAGCTGACTTGAAGCGTGGAAAAACACGTGCGAACGAGTCACAATAGAATGATTAATTTTGGTTGCACCTCCTGATTGGATGAAAAAGTGGCGCGAGTTTTTTTAAGCCAATAGTGTAGCGTACTTATGCAAAACCAATTACTATTTGACACTCAAATGAATACCACTCTATACCTGAATGATAAGGGTTGTTTTAATTTGACAAACTGTAACAAAAATTGAAATTTTTCCTTTTCCTGAAAAATGAAAGAAAAACACTCAAAGGCAGTCTCTATAGCTTTCGAGAATCATAGTTTTGTTTTGGTTTTGCCTCTTGTTTACCAAATGACACACTTCTTGTTTCCCAAATGACAGCCTTCATCACTACAACCTCCTTGTTTGTATTTAAATATGACATTACATTGTTTGACATTAAATATTCGAATGTCTTCGTAATACAGAGAGAGAACGATGATTCAGTGGAGACGGAGACTTCAGCAGGTGAGCTTGGTTGAATGGTAAAGGAACAGAAAAGCACAAGATAGATAAAAAGTAAACTGTAAGATGTATTAAAGGTAAATATGATAATACTGTTTTTCAACGTACATAATCAACTGGATATGTTTTTTTTTCCAGGTGAAGAGTTCCAATACATTGACCCAGCTGATGAGGAAATGGATAATGGCTTTGTGTTTTCTCCAGTAAGTGTGACTGGTCACGTTTCCAGTGGAATCTCTTTCTTGAAGCAGAAAATTATCTTGACTTTGAATAGAGTATTTGACAAAAAGCGACATTTAACTGCTCAATTGCGTTCATTTGAATGTTCACATGCTTTGGGTTCACCTACTTTTCCACTTACTTTTACTTGTATATGGCATAAAACTGACTCTGAGCCTAATAATCAATGGCATGTAAGTCCTTCCTGAAATGTCCAATAGAGTTTTTTGTCAGGACGTCACAGCACTAGTTCTTGGTCTTGGGTGACCCGAATAAGAACTAAAGCGAACCAACATTGTATGATTCGTCTCCTGTGTTTTAGTGTCCGCACGATGTGAAGTGTGCAAGGTCAGATGCCAAGACTAGAGATCACCCTTGCAACTTTGAACAAAGAGCACAGTTGGCATTTTGTCAGGTAAGCGAAACTGTTATCGAGGAAAATGACATCTACATGGAATACAAATTTCCAACCCTATTTCACTGTGGGAAAACGCTGGTAACTACATGATGGCAAATCAATACGGATTACAAGTTACTATACACGGAGAAATTTTTGTCAAAAGGTCTGGATAGTAGCAGACATGGTAAAATTTTTAGAAACAACTGAACGTTTTTTCAAAACATGTTTCAACAGAATCTTCTGTCATCTTCAGTTTAAATAAAAAAAAACAAAAAAAAAAAAACTCAGTTCTATAAAAAATAACAGTATTTTTGAAAAGCTCTCTGTTAACCTTAACAACGTTGATGCGCATGGAATCGATGACCTAGCGACAACGCAATTCTTGGCCTTGATTTTAGCAAATCACGAGTATCACCAGTAACAGCAGCAACAACGCGCCAAAGTTATCGAGTGCGAGAAAAAAAAAGGAAATACTACTAACTGGCTTGTGTAAATTTTCTGACCGTCTGATAGTGAGAAAAGCTCGGCGAAAACTTCTCTTTGTATTTGATATTTTTATAACAGAAAAACAGCAGATTAAAGAAGAGGGGATTTCATACCGAGAGGTTTTCTTATATCGTGNGGGGTGAGGGGCTAGGGAAGTGTGAAGGGACAATGGAAATGTGTAGGAGGAGAGGAAAGTGAAAAGGATGAATGGGCGATCATGGGATGAAAAAGTGGAGGAGAGAATAGTGGAGCGGGGAGAGAAATATGAAGGAAGATTCAAGTGTGGTGAGGAAAGGGAAGTGTGGGTGGACAAGGGAAACTTTTCTAGGGGGAAAGATGTGAAAGGGGAAGTAAAATATCCAGAGTTCAGCAAGAAGCAGAAAGCGTGTTGTTTCACTTCTCAGTTTTGACTGCTCAACAAACAATACATGAGGAGCGATATTGCCTGTCATGACATTTTGATCATCTAGATTTCTTTATTATTTCCCAGAGAAGCCATGGCCTCGGGTTCTGGAACCGATGAAGAAAAGAAGACGACACGTGATTTGTAAACTTTGCTGTAGCTCGGGTAAGTTAGAAACAACCGGCCACTTCCGGTAGTTGTGTGACCCTGCACTTTTAAAGGTGCAACAGGATGTGTTACCATAGTAGCAACAGCTGAAGTTGCTCGTGCTATTTTTGATTGGGCTGTAAAAATCGAAAAATTGTTCCGTTCTCAACGCGATTTTTGGGAACGCTGCAATTTCTACCTTGCCATCTGCAATCCCCTTCATATTTCTGTTAATGGTTACACTTCGCTCCGCCTTATTTTCTTAAGAGAGAGGAAGAACTAGTTTATAATATCTCCTTTTTCAGGTGACTTAAAACAGAAAATTTTCACTAGGAAGAAAGATAGGTATGCGGTTTTGTTTGTCATAATTTACCACAAATATCTGTCTTTTACTCTCACGCACCAAGTCTCTAGTTTAATAACAACCGTTCCCTAATATCCGTGCTCCCTAATGAAGCTGAGCAACTTGGCAGTGTGGCTTCGTGCGTTTGATACCGAGGGCTTGTCAAAAGCCGAGTGAGTAAGAGAAAATGTCAAGAGTCGAACAAAAATTTAGGATATTTTGTTTATTAGTTCGTGTATTATGTGATCTTCTGGGTCAGGGTAGTTCTGAAAAGTATCAGTATTAGTATGGGTTCTCCCAAGCTGCATGGTTTGACACTTAAATAAAGTTTTATCACCAAGTTTTTTAATTTTTGTTTTTAAAGAGTTGCTATTGGTGACTGACCTTTCGTCGACCTTCGTCAACCTGAGCGGAAGTGATCTTCAGAGTGATAGTTCGTCTGTTGTTGTTAAATACCAGTAAATACCTGTTTCTTGTGTAAAACATACCTTGTCTTTCTTTCAGTGACATTTACAAGTGTGCTCGACACTTAACAAAGTGGGGTGATTTACTGCCAGACCCAGAGCACAGAGAAAGGCCAGTTAAAAGCAGAGTGACTCGCCCGGCAAAATCTGCTAGTCCCTAGCTGTGCAATGAAGGATGTTAAAGAAGTCTGTCAAGGAAGGCTAAATACAGTTGTGAACGAAGTGTGGAAATCGGGGGAAATTTATTAAGTTCGAGGAAGGAACATGTAAATGTTTAAATGAAAGTGCGAAAAGTTTATTCAAATCTGTGTTTCTTTGTCAGTTAGTCCAAAGTAAATCACCAATAAAATGACGAATGTGCGATCGAGTTTGTCTCGTTCCCAGGCTTCGCAATTTCTGAACGTCCTTACTTCAACAGGAGCATGGAGGGTTACATCTAAGCGCCCTGACAAGTCATGTTGTTAGCCTTTTTATCGACCTTCATGTCATATGTCGGAATTTAACCCAACAGGTTCTCCCTGGGTGTGCAACAGTAACAGTTTCATGCTATTAGGACTAGAGATTTCAACAAATGTTGAACTGCGCAAAAAGCTCAATATTCGAGTCCGAAATTGCCCGAATAAGAACCGGAGAACACCGCGCAAACCGAAATATTCCGATGTATTCAAAGACCCTCACTCGAAATAAACCTGGAATATTCTATTTACAATGCAACTTGAATACGTTACGTCGACTTTACACTCTTGAATGGTTAGTCAATAAATTTATCAGTGAAAGAGGGAGAGGGTAACATTTTTGCGTGCGCGCGCCGACCTGTCCGGCAAACAGGTTTGCTACTGTACAAGTAACAATCTCGTTCCCAGAGTCTTCGTTCCCCTTAGTTGACCAGCGGTCGGAAAACGAGAGCCCTGGGAGCAATCATTTCAGGCACGCGCCATAGATGCAGACTGCGCAGTGAAACCGGATGGGCAGAATCACCAGGATTCGGTTATTTCAAAATGGTTGCTCCCAGAGCTCTCGTTATCCGACCGACTCAGGGAACGAGATTGTACAGGTAACTGTATTATTCCAGAAAAACATGGTTTCCAGGAAGAGCAAATTACTACGATTAATCAATAGCCATGTGCTGTACTTTCCCGCCGAGAAGGAAAATCATTTTCATTAGAAACTTATACTACGGTTATCAGTTAAGAAAGGCACGACGGAACTTTGGTGACAAAGTTTTGGACCTACAATTTCGGTGTTGCCACGGGTAACTTCCCTCGTTTCGAATGTTAACAATATCGTCGCCTGGGTTGCAATTTCCCACGTTTTGCTGCCAATGACGTCAAATGCCGACAAGGGAGCCAGTTGCGCATCACGTAAGGCATGGTTTAAGCGCCACGCGCGCGCTGGGTTGACATGACGCAATCAACTACGCTACCAAGTACACGACTAAATTGAAAGCAAAATTTTCCTACTGTGACCAAATCAAGTTTAATGAACCTGTACTTAAACCAGGAACACCAGGACAGCAGCATATCGCTAACCACTAACTGTTAACGTCTTCCAGCTGAAAAACTAGCAGTTATCTGTCGAAAATTATACTGAAATCCAACTGTAATCAGGTACCTGTAGATGGCGTAGTGCGCTCGCAAAACAACTGCGAGATACGCAAATGTTTTACTTACTGGGGAGGTGACAGGAAAAAAATGTAACAGGCACCGTAAAAAGTTTACAAAAGGATCAATAACTTTAAAAAACGCGTGGTTACCCCTATATTTTATGCTATGAAATGGAAGTGGCAAGCCTATTCAGCAGGTGATTAGTTTCTGGTTGTGAGCAAAAGATATTTAGACTGTATTTTAGCTGAAACAGAGGAAGGCTGTCAGAGACGCTAAAAGTGCTGTTGCAACGATTTTGTTATTAAAAACATACCAAAAATGGTTTTTGTTACCATTTACCATGTAGTTTTCAGATCTTTATAAACGTGTTTGCTTGTCTGTATGTAAAGGCGAATTCTAAAGAAAGCTGTGAATAAATATCCTCTCCTATTTTCAGAAAAATGCTGATGTCAGCATTTTTATTGAGATTAAAGGCTAATTATCTCGAAAAAAATGCGTGGCTACCCTCTTTTTTCTTTGTGGATTCCGATAGCCATTGCAAAGATCTACTTTTTCCGCAAGGTCTTAACCTGGCGCAAAAACCTTTGTATTTAGTAGGCACCGTCCTTAAACCTGGTCACCAAACGTTCGTCACACCTTGGTTACTCAAAAATTGAAGTTCATTTAAGAACCGTTGTAGCGGGTTTATGAAGGTAGAAAGGCAAAGGAGAGAGAGCCTGGGAACGAAGTTAGCGATGCTGTCGTTTTGCACACCGTCATTTCCCAGCTCTGAAAAACCGTCAAATCATGTCAAGACCCTTCTCTGCGAAAGTATTAAATTTTCTGATTTGAACTGATACCAGTGTGGACTTCCCTTGTTTGTCTTAACTCATTAACTCAGGAACCCAACTAAATTTTACTTTAATTCAAGCCCAATAAATTGCAATACACCAGAGGTTGAGCAAACTGCAGAATTTACTCTCCAAAACTCAAATTTACAAGTACAGGTAAATTGAATAACAAGGTATGTATGAAGGATTAAGAATTAAAATATCCGTCTGCCTAGTATCAAAAGTTAACGGAACAAATGAATTTTTTACCTCCCTAACTAAGTAACATTACACATAGCAGTAAAAACTAACACGTTTTTAGTTTCTTTTTACAAAAAGAAGCAATATTTTACAAGGTACTTTAGCAAAAACCGTTGAAGAAATAGCAGTGTACTCAGGGATGGTAACTTTTCAAATGGCACCACGGTTTTTAGTACCACTTCCTTCTCAAAGCACGATTGCAAGTACAATAAAGAAAAACTTGACGTTCACCCTAATTAAATAGATAAACAGTATTCACACTCGTAATTTTCTTCTTTTCTTCGACTGCCATTCTGGTGAACGTGGATCTGTAAGTTCTTTTTCGCTCTGTTTAATTTCCAACGTGCGATATTTGCGTATGGGATTTGGTTTGTGTACAAGTTGTTTCCTAAGGTTCTTAATATAAATCTTTTCCTCTTCTTCCCGCTCTTTTTCCAACTGCCTTCTTGCCTCCTCTTCTTCAAGCTCTCTCTCAGTCTTGTGCATCTCGTACACTTCTCTCTCCTTGGCGCGCTTGTCGCAATTCATGGAGAATTCTTCGATTTTCGTGCTGGGTTTTGCTATGGACTTGTCAGGGACGAATGGCGCGTTATACAAGACATTGGTGGGTCTGGCTTTGAATGCCCTTTTCATTCTTTCCTGCTGAATCTCCTGCTGAAGCTAAAACAGAAAAAAACTTATCCTTAGTTCAACATTACAATGTTGGTAAATTTGTTAAATAAAAACTCGAGTCTTCTATCAACGTTGCAGGCCCCCTTACACACTATGCCGGAGAAATTTGAAAACGCAATTTTATTTATTTCAACGGTTAAGCCTACAGGCCACACTAATCCGTCACGAAAACGGAGCTTTTCGAAAACGCTCTTCAATACGGAGGAATATGAAAACGGCGGCTTTGCGTTTTAGTGTGGAAGGAAAACATTTTGAAAACGGAACTTTTCAAAAACGTGACATTACGATAATCATGGGATTTCTCTGACCGAGTTTTCCTCAAACACAAATCCAAAATGACCGGAGATTGTTGCGTTTTTAATTTTTCGAAAATCTCGATGTAACTGCCCGAAGAGTTTCAGATTCGTTTCGTTCAACAAGAAAATCTTACGGAAACTCGTGAAGTCAGAAAAGCTAGAAAACATAAACTTAGGTGGTCAACGAGACGAAAAGTTATCGTCCTTATAGGTCCGCAATGCATACATGCATGTATTTGAGTTGTCGCGGCATAATGTGAAGGGGTCACATAGTATTTGACTGAAACTTTTCTACTAATTAAGCAATTAAGATGCAAGCTGATCGAGTACCCTTTGTGTAACAGTCTTGTACTGTCTTAAGCATACCTGCTGTCCCCATTTTTCTGCCTTCACAGCTCCACGGTTGTCTGTCGACAAATTAAAAGGTGCTGGCTCTGTGAGGCGTTTTGACGATGAAGGAAGAGCAGGTGGAGTGAAACTGGGCAGCGGCTGAGCATGGAACTCGTGTGCCTGTCATAGGGAAAAATGCAATCGTAACTCGGACAAATAGCAAATATTTGAGTTGGATATCATAAGGAGTAGAAGTGTTAGAACTGCTCCCCCCTTAAATGAAGTCCCTTACAGGAATATCCCCCCTACCATAAGCAGTACATGTAGCTATTTATTTATTTATTTGTTTATCCCGAGTCCAATGTGGTACACAATTCCATCATGCCTCCACCGCTGACTTTTACAGTGTTCAGCAAACAGTTTTTAAGTGAACAGAAGTGGGCACAATGTAGTGAACTGAATAATCAGCAGGTCTGAGAGATTGTTTGCTCACATGTCTCTCATTTGTCCTCCCGACAAATGTGAGCCAATGAGACTGATCAAAAGAAAAGTAGCCAATTTGTGCTCCTTCTGAAGAAAATTGTCATTCCAAATCGGCAACAATGGAAAGGTTAAAGTATCACACAGATCCTTCAGTTGGAACAGGATTCATCTTACCTGCTGGCCTACATTGTACAAAACTTATCTAATCAGGCAATAAGCTTTCATCAACTTCCCTTTATCTTCAGTGTAATCATCAGTGCAGTCAAGAGATCAGTTTTGAAGCTGTCAATTCTACGCGAAACTGGCTTACCTTCTTTTCTTCCTCTAAGACAGTTTTAATTTTCTCTTCTTTCTTTTGTTTCAGTTCCTTGTCACGGTGTTCAAATGAGAATGGCTGTGAATGGGTGCTGTTGTGTGGCAGTTCAGGTTTAAACACATTGCTAAAGTCAGGAAGAGGTTGAGCCTTGATTTGTCGAGGATGATTTTCCCCCTGTAGATATTATTAATAAATGTAGATATGAAAAAAATACTAAAATCTAAGAAGATGTAAGATCGCAGAAGTAACACTGTATTTTCATTTTTCATCCACAAGGGAGACCTTTATCTAAGAGGAATAAAGATCAAAGAGGGTGCCCTGTACTTTCATTTTTCTTTTATGAAAAAATGTTTCACCCACAATGGAGACCTTTACTGTTGAAATTCTGTAATGTAATGTAACAGCTAATTATTAGTGTTACAAAATTATCTAGAAAAAAAAAACTTAACATGGCAGATGGATCATGTGTACAAAAGGCATCTGCAGTCAAGAGTCACTCGATGCATATTCATGAGTTGGTTGACACTCTGCCAACTATCGACCAACCGTCAATCAAAATGTTGATCAAGTATCAATCTGAAGTCGACCAAGTGTCGAGCAGGATGTCAGTGGAGGGTATTGATCGACACTTGACTGTGGATGCCTTTAGTACACATGATCCTGACAGGTAATTACAAGAAAACCACAAGGGATCAGTTTGGTTAGTGCTGAAACCAATTCTTAAAGATCATTGGGTCTGGCAAAAGCACAATCTGACTGGTCAATTTTAGTTATGGGCTACAGAACCTGCTTAGTTGTGTAATAAAAACTTAAAGTGGTATTTACTACAAACCTCATTGAGTGCTGGTTCTTTGGTCTTATGCACCTCAGCTCGTTGTTCAGTATTAAAATTAAAGGGTTCTACTTCAGTGAGTGGCTTCTTAGGTTCCATATACACTCCCAATGTTCCATTGCACTCAAATATTTTGCGATTCAGTTCAGTTGCCTTGAACTTGTAACTGTTCAGAGAAAAAAGGCAATTAGATGGAGGATTGATAATAATGGAATAAAAAAACTTCATTGTCAACTTCAGCACTAAATTAATGGGAGACAGCATGTCTATTACAACATACTGTAAAATTCCACTTTAAAGCCCTGGGCTTATATAACTTCATAAGAGTTTTAGGTGGGTTTATAAACGGGGTAGGGGGCTCAGAATAGGTGGAATATAAAAAAATGCTTCAGAACAATGAGATAAAACATACCTGAGAAATGTAGTAAAGCTAACAAACCATTACAATTAGAGCTATTACCCTATAACTTTTGATTAAAAATTTTGATGTTGGTAAAGGAATGCAAAAGGAACATACTTATACATTAGATGTCTTTGTTAGCAAATAGAAGGACTTATATCCAGGGGGGATTTTAGTAGCCTGATTACAGGCACTTGGTCATTGCATAGTGTTGCTTTGACTCCCTGCCTTCTTTACTGTTTCCACCAATCGTGAGCCTAGAACCTGAAAACTACAACACAACTTCTTCATAACAAACTTCAGCTGTCTTGATTGTGAAAATAAATATTACAGTCGGACCCCTACAACAATGTACATGTAATTAAAATTTCCCGTTCAAATTCCCCATTTTTTTTCGTCATTTGAACTTAAAACTATGTTCCCTCAACCCTGGAATTGCCCTTCAGTCATTTATGATTGGCTTTCTCAAACTCACAATTTAGAACTATTTTTTATTTTGCCTGAGAGTTTGAAACAGCGAGGTTCAACTGGAGTTTTTGCATTGAGTGTCAAGCTACCTCTTCATCTCTGCTTCTTGTTGCCTCTCCTGTTCTTCTTTACTCATGCAATCAGAAGGAAGAGGTCTTGTTCTCTGTTTTGCCTTCAAGTTTGGTGTCTTTGGAGCTGTTAGCTTCTGAGAAGTCTGCTCCTTACTGGCAGGAGGGCCTGGGTTCTGTTCCTGCACAGGTTTGATGCGGAAGCGCTCAGGAGTCTTCTTCTGCCACTGGTAGACTTTCTGCGCCATGGATTGGTATTGCCCACAGAGGTTGTCATCGTTGTCAGGTTCTTTTCGTTTTTTGGATTCTGTCATCTTAAATGGCACTGGTACAGTGGGTTTTCTATTCTTGAAAGTCTGATGGAATCAAATATGTCATGGCTTTTATTATAAGGCAGTTTTAAGCATTTACCTCATAAGAAAAATGTAGGTTGTTCCCTTACACAGAATCAAAATCATAACAAAGAGATTATTGTTAGCATTGCTGGCAACCAAGTTCTAATTTATAGTGATTTCTTACAGGAGATGACAACTCCTACAGTGCACAAACTGTTCGACTTGCAAAATCAATAACACATCATTGGTATACACTAGGAATGGAAGCACCTGGTTGCAAGTTTCAAGCTTGATGTGTTCTCTGTAAGGAAAGAAAATATTTACTGCTACATTCATTTATCACTTACTGGTGAAGGAGGATGTTGCCTTAGTGTACCAACAAAGTTCTTTCCATTTTCTGCGGCACTTGCATGAGCGTTATGCGCACTGGGGCCAAGCCTGTCATCTGTTGCAAAATGGAATTCTTGTGGGCGAGTTAGGTTGTCAACAGCTGACCTACAAGGCATGTATGATTGCCCAGCTAGGGCTTTTTTCATGGAAATTTTGTTCTGTTGTAGTTTCTCCATGGTTTCTTTTTGTTTCTGTGCAATAACCTGAAGCTCATTCTCCTCTTTGGTTTTCTGTACTTGGCTTGTGGCTATCTTAGATTGAGGAGCTCTCCTGGAAATTGAAGGCAAGGAAAAATATGTGGTCAGATCATTTCACTGTATAGTCAGATAAATCCACTTACATAAACAGTTGGCTAATAAAATGTTTGAGTTTGTTGATATATTGTTTCACTAGTGCAGTTCAAGTGTAAGTTCTTAGTGCTGCTCACATAATCAATCAGAATGATGATAGGTTTACTGGATTGATAGAGTATACATTATGTACACTGCATGTTGATTTGACTGTAAACATGACCTAACACTGTTCACACTATCAATCAAGGCGACAAACTGCTTAGGTGATAGATCAAGTCTATGACGTTTATATACCTGATCAAAATCGGAGGTGGTGGGGTATTTCATTGGTCTTTATATTAAACAATTAGATGATGAGCTTGAGATTTCCATCACATGATAGTTGTCTCGGGCTGTGCTCTCATCAACTGTCATGCATAGAAATCAAGGGCGAATAATCTAATTGTTTTAGTTCAAAACGTATCTAAATCCACTTCACAGACACTATGGAAACGCCAAGAAGCGGCGGCATTTTGTCAACAAGGGTACTGCTACGCTTCTCACTATCTATCACAGAATAGATAGCGAGTAGCGTTAAGCCAATTAGAGAACAGCATTCACAATAGAACACTAGTAGATTTATACTAAAAAAAATTAGAACATTACATTGACACTTGGAGATAAGAACTTTCTTTTCTTGTGTCAAAAATGTTTCACTCATGACACATTTTGCAATTCTTGAAGAGGAATTTTGTATCTCCACGTGGCCATGTACTCTGTAATACCCTCTAAAATACCATCCTTTGAATAACTGTTACNCGATAGCCATTGCAAAGATCTACTTTTTCCGCAAGGTCTTAACCTGGCGCAAAAACCTTTGTATTTAGTAGGCACCGTCCTTAAACCTGGTCACCAAACGTTCGTCACACCTTGGTTACTCAAAAATTGAAGTTCATTTAAGAACCGTTGTAGCGGGTTTATGAAGGTAGAAAGGCAAAGGAGAGAGAGCCTGGGAACGAAGTTAGCGATGCTGTCGTTTTGCACACCGTCATTTCCCAGCTCTGAAAAACCGTCAAATCATGTCAAGACCCTTCTCTGCGAAAGTATTAAATTTTCTGATTTGAACTGATACCAGTGTGGACTTCCCTTGTTTGTCTTAACTCATTAACTCAGGAACCCAACTAAATTTTACTTTAATTCAAGCCCAATAAATTGCAATACACCAGAGGTTGAGCAAACTGCAGAATTTACTCTCCAAAACTCAAATTTACAAGTACAGGTAAATTGAATAACAAGGTATGTATGAAGGATTAAGAATTAAAATATCCGTCTGCCTAGTATCAAAAGTTAACGGAACAAATGAATTTTTTACCTCCCTAACTAAGTAACATTACACATAGCAGTAAAAACTAACACGTTTTTAGTTTCTTTTTACAAAAAGAAGCAATATTTTACAAGGTACTTTAGCAAAAACCGTTGAAGAAATAGCAGTGTACTCAGGGATGGTAACTTTTCAAATGGCACCACGGTTTTTAGTACCACTTCCTTCTCAAAGCACGATTGCAAGTACAATAAAGAAAAACTTGACGTTCACCCTAATTAAATAGATAAACAGTATTCACACTCGTAATTTTCTTCTTTTCTTCGACTGCCATTCTGGTGAACGTGGATCTGTAAGTTCTTTTTCGCTCTGTTTAATTTCCAACGTGCGATATTTGCGTATGGGATTTGGTTTGTGTACAAGTTGTTTCCTAAGGTTCTTAATATAAATCTTTTCCTCTTCTTCCCGCTCTTTTTCCAACTGCCTTCTTGCCTCCTCTTCTTCAAGCTCTCTCTCAGTCTTGTGCATCTCGTACACTTCTCTCTCCTTGGCGCGCTTGTCGCAATTCATGGAGAATTCTTCGATTTTCGTGCTGGGTTTTGCTATGGACTTGTCAGGGACGAATGGCGCGTTATACAAGACATTGGTGGGTCTGGCTTTGAATGCCCTTTTCATTCTTTCCTGCTGAATCTCCTGCTGAAGCTAAAACAGAAAAAAACTTATCCTTAGTTCAACATTACAATGTTGGTAAATTTGTTAAATAAAAACTCGAGTCTTCTATCAACGTTGCAGGCCCCCTTACACACTATGCCGGAGAAATTTGAAAACGCAATTTTATTTATTTCAACGGTTAAGCCTACAGGCCACACTAATCCGTCACGAAAACGGAGCTTTTCGAAAACGCTCTTCAATACGGAGGAATATGAAAACGGCGGCTTTGCGTTTTAGTGTGGAAGGAAAACATTTTGAAAACGGAACTTTTCAAAAACGTGACATTACGATAATCATGGGATTTCTCTGACCGAGTTTTCCTCAAACACAAATCCAAAATGACCGGAGATTGTTGCGTTTTTAATTTTTCGAAAATCTCGATGTAACTGCCCGAAGAGTTTCAGATTCGTTTCGTTCAACAAGAAAATCTTACGGAAACTCGTGAAGTCAGAAAAGCTAGAAAACATAAACTTAGGTGGTCAACGAGACGAAAAGTTATCGTCCTTATAGGTCCGCAATGCATACATGCATGTATTTGAGTTGTCGCGGCATAATGTGAAGGGGTCACATAGTATTTGACTGAAACTTTTCTACTAATTAAGCAATTAAGATGCAAGCTGATCGAGTACCCTTTGTGTAACAGTCTTGTACTGTCTTAAGCATACCTGCTGTCCCCATTTTTCTGCCTTCACAGCTCCACGGTTGTCTGTCGACAAATTAAAAGGTGCTGGCTCTGTGAGGCGTTTTGACGATGAAGGAAGAGCAGGTGGAGTGAAACTGGGCAGCGGCTGAGCATGGAACTCGTGTGCCTGTCATAGGGAAAAATGCAATCGTAACTCGGACAAATAGCAAATATTTGAGTTGGATATCATAAGGAGTAGAAGTGTTAGAACTGCTCCCCCCTTAAATGAAGTCCCTTACAGGAATATCCCCCCTACCATAAGCAGTACATGTAGCTATTTATTTATTTATTTGTTTATCCCGAGTCCAATGTGGTACACAATTCCATCATGCCTCCACCGCTGACTTTTACAGTGTTCAGCAAACAGTTTTTAAGTGAACAGAAGTGGGCACAATGTAGTGAACTGAATAATCAGCAGGTCTGAGAGATTGTTTGCTCACATGTCTCTCATTTGTCCTCCCGACAAATGTGAGCCAATGAGACTGATCAAAAGAAAAGTAGCCAATTTGTGCTCCTTCTGAAGAAAATTGTCATTCCAAATCGGCAACAATGGAAAGGTTAAAGTATCACACAGATCCTTCAGTTGGAACAGGATTCATCTTACCTGCTGGCCTACATTGTACAAAACTTATCTAATCAGGCAATAAGCTTTCATCAACTTCCCTTTATCTTCAGTGTAATCATCAGTGCAGTCAAGAGATCAGTTTTGAAGCTGTCAATTCTACGCGAAACTGGCTTACCTTCTTTTCTTCCTCTAAGACAGTTTTAATTTTCTCTTCTTTCTTTTGTTTCAGTTCCTTGTCACGGTGTTCAAATGAGAATGGCTGTGAATGGGTGCTGTTGTGTGGCAGTTCAGGTTTAAACACATTGCTAAAGTCAGGAAGAGGTTGAGCCTTGATTTGTCGAGGATGATTTTCCCCCTGTAGATATTATTAATAAATGTAGATATGAAAAAAATACTAAAATCTAAGAAGATGTAAGATCGCAGAAGTAACACTGTATTTTCATTTTTCATCCACAAGGGAGACCTTTATCTAAGAGGAATAAAGATCAAAGAGGGTGCCCTGTACTTTCATTTTTCTTTTATGAAAAAATGTTTCACCCACAATGGAGACCTTTACTGTTGAAATTCTGTAATGTAATGTAACAGCTAATTATTAGTGTTACAAAATTATCTAGAAAAAAAAAACTTAACATGGCAGATGGATCATGTGTACAAAAGGCATCTGCAGTCAAGAGTCACTCGATGCATATTCATGAGTTGGTTGACACTCTGCCAACTATCGACCAACCGTCAATCAAAATGTTGATCAAGTATCAATCTGAAGTCGACCAAGTGTCGAGCAGGATGTCAGTGGAGGGTATTGATCGACACTTGACTGTGGATGCCTTTAGTACACATGATCCTGACAGGTAATTACAAGAAAACCACAAGGGATCAGTTTGGTTAGTGCTGAAACCAATTCTTAAAGATCATTGGGTCTGGCAAAAGCACAATCTGACTGGTCAATTTTAGTTATGGGCTACAGAACCTGCTTAGTTGTGTAATAAAAACTTAAAGTGGTATTTACTACAAACCTCATTGAGTGCTGGTTCTTTGGTCTTATGCACCTCAGCTCGTTGTTCAGTATTAAAATTAAAGGGTTCTACTTCAGTGAGTGGCTTCTTAGGTTCCATATACACTCCCAATGTTCCATTGCACTCAAATATTTTGCGATTCAGTTCAGTTGCCTTGAACTTGTAACTGTTCAGAGAAAAAAGACAATTAGATGGAGGATTGATAATAATGGAATAAAAAAACTTCATTGTCAACTTCAGCACTAAATTAATGGGAGACAGCATGTCTATTACAACATACTGTAAAATTCCACTTTAAAGCCCTGGGCTTATATAACTTCATAAGAGTTTTAGGTGGGTTTATAAACGGGGTAGGGGGCTCAGAATAGGTGGAATATAAAAAAATGCTTCAGAACAATGAGATAAAACATACCTGAGAAATGTAGTAAAGCTAACAAACCATTACAATTAGAGCTATTACCCTATAACTTTTGATTAAAAATTTTGATGTTGGTAAAGGAATGCAAAAGGAACATACTTATACATTAGATGTCTTTGTTAGCAAATAGAAGGACTTATATCCAGGGGGGATTTTAGTAGCCTGATTACAGGCACTTGGTCATTGCATAGTGTTGCTTTGACTCCCTGCCTTCTTTACTGTTTCCACCAATCGTGAGCCTAGAACCTGAAAACTACAACACAACTTCTTCATAACAAACTTCAGCTGTCTTGATTGTGAAAATAAATATTACAGTCGGACCCCTACAACAATGTACATGTAATTAAAATTTCCCGTTCAAATTCCCCATTTTTTTTCGTCATTTGAACTTAAAACTATGTTCCCTCAACCCTGGAATTGCCCTTCAGTCATTTATGATTGGCTTTCTCAAACTCACAATTTAGAACTATTTTTTATTTTGCCTGAGAGTTTGAAACAGCGAGGTTCAACTGGAGTTTTTGCATTGAGTGTCAAGCTACCTCTTCATCTCTGCTTCTTGTTGCCTCTCCTGTTCTTCTTTACTCATGCAATCAGAAGGAAGAGGTCTTGTTCTCTGTTTTGCCTTCAAGTTTGGTGTCTTTGGAGCTGTTAGCTTCTGAGAAGTCTGCTCCTTACTGGCAGGAGGGCCTGGGTTCTGTTCCTGCACAGGTTTGATGCGGAAGCGCTCAGGAGTCTTCTTCTGCCACTGGTAGACTTTCTGCGCCATGGATTGGTATTGCCCACAGAGGTTGTCATCGTTGTCAGGTTCTTTTCGTTTTTTGGATTCTGTCATCTTAAATGGCACTGGTACAGTGGGTTTTCTATTCTTGAAAGTCTGATGGAATCAAATATGTCATGGCTTTTATTATAAGGCAGTTTTAAGCATTTACCTCATAAGAAAAATGTAGGTTGTTCCCTTACACAGAATCAAAATCATAACAAAGAGATTATTGTTAGCATTGCTGGCAACCAAGTTCTAATTTATAGTGATTTCTTACAGGAGATGACAACTCCTACAGTGCACAAACTGTTCGACTTGCAAAATCAATAACACATCATTGGTATACACTAGGAATGGAAGCACCTGGTTGCAAGTTTCAAGCTTGATGTGTTCTCTGTAAGGAAAGAAAATATTTACTGCTACATTCATTTATCACTTACTGGTGAAGGAGGATGTTGCCTTAGTGTACCAACAAAGTTCTTTCCATTTTCTGCGGCACTTGCATGAGCGTTATGTGCACTGGGGCCAAGCCTGTCATCTGTTGCAAAATGGAATTCTTGTGGGCGAGTTAGGTTGTCAACAGCTGACCTACAAGGCATGTATGATTGCCCAGCTAGGGCTTTTTTCATGGAAATTTTGTTCTGTTGTAGTTTCTCCATGGTTTCTTTTTGTTTCTGTGCAATAACCTGAAGCTCATTCTCCTCTTTGGTTTTCTGTACTTGGCTTGTGGCTATCTTAGATTGAGGAGCTCTCCTGGAAATTGAAGGCAAGGAAAAATATGTGGTCAGATCATTTCACTGTATAGTCAGATAAATCCACTTACATAAACAGTTGGCTAATAAAATGTTTGAGTTTGTTGATATATTGTTTCACTAGTGCAGTTCAAGTGTAAGTTCTTAGTGCTGCTCACATAATCAATCAGAATGATGATAGGTTTACTGGATTGATAGAGTATACATTATGTACACTGCATGTTGATTTGACTGTAAACATGACCTAACACTGTTCACACTATCAATCAAGGCGACAAACTGCTTAGGTGATAGATCAAGTCTATGACGTTTATATACCTGATCAAAATCGGAGGTGGTGGGGTATTTCATTGGTCTTTATATTAAACAATTAGATGATGAGCTTGAGATTTCCATCACATGATAGTTGTCTCGGGCTGTGCTCTCATCAACTGTCATGCATAGAAATCAAGGGCGAATAATCTAATTGTTTTAGTTCAAAACGTATCTAAATCCACTTCACAGACACTATGGAAACGCCAAGAAGCGGCGGCATTTTGTCAACAAGGGTACTGCTACGCTTCTCACTATCTATCACAGAATAGATAGCGAGTAGCGTTAAGCCAATTAGAGAACAGCATTCACAATAGAACACTAGTAGATTTATACTAAAAAAAATTAGAACATTACATTGACACTTGGAGATAAGAACTTTCTTTTCTTGTGTCAAAAATGTTTCACTCATGACACATTTTGCAATTCTTGAAGAGGAATTTTGTATCTCCACGTGGCCATGTACTCTGTAATACCCTCTAAAATACCATCCTTTGAATAACTGTTACATGATGGTATACAAGCAAAAACCAAAAGTACTACTCAAAACGGCTGAAAATGCACTGCATTTTTAGACTTAACATTTATCTTTTGCCAAATATTCTCAGGCATACTGAGTAGTACCACTACAACAATGAGATAACTTTACCTCATAAATGTTGGCGTGTTAGGAACAGTGAGTGTCAACGGCGCTTTTATTTTAGGGGCCTTCCTAGAAACAGGATGACCATCAGATGAATTGGACACGGTAGATGCAGTTGAGCAGGTAGACAAAGTTCGCAGCCGAGCTGATCTTCGTTCAGGTTCCTTCTTCTCACGTTTCCTAGCAAAAGCAGGCAAGCTAGTTAATGAAGTAATTCTTTAATTTGTTATTTAGCGCAAAAACCTAAACAGCTAACCTCTTAATTCGGGGTTGTGAAGCTGAAGGGGCCGTGTTTTCCTTGGTTTCTTTGTTAACACTGGTCGTTGTTTTTGCCACCCAGTCTGACCAAGAAGTAACGATGTTTTTCGGAACTTGCTTTTGAGGAGAATCCTTTGCTGATTCTACATTTGTTTGCGGATGTGCGGGTTCTTGTTCAGTCTGTGGAGACGATTTCTGATTGTCCTCTTTCGGGATTTCCTGGAGTTCGTACGCCATTTTGTTGACTGTGTCGGTGGGTTCGTTTGATTCCTGATCACTTGGTTCTTCTTCAATGAAAACGCCGCCTTCGTCAGCTCCTTTCTCATCTTTAAACAGAGAAGATTTGTTAAGTCTTACGTTAAAAAGAACTCCACCGCGAAGAAATCACATCGAAGCAACAACTTACCAAACCACTTGTCTGCTTCAGGGTCTAGTTGCTCGGCGCCCTTCAAGAAATCCACAAACATAGGCGCATCGTACTCATAACTTGGATCAACAAATGCATCCATTCTCGTAAACTAAAACTTCTAAATGTCCTGGAAACAGTCTTAGTTACTCTCAGTAACGAAACAAAAAGGAAACATATAACTCTAGAAAATAGCACGGATTCGGACAAGAACGCTCGCTTGTTTGATCGTTAGATTTGAAACTGACCGCACTAATGTGACGCTCACCTAACGAGCATTCCCATTGGTCAGTTATTGTTGGCCGGACATAAAAGGTAATCATAACCATATTAGGGAGTCATAAACATTCAATATGGCGGGGATTTCGGAAACAAATAGTAATTTCTAGCTAATTTGAGACAAAACATCGAAAATAAGGGAATTTTTTCAAACAAAGGTATAAAATGTCAAAGAAAAAGAGGTAAGTATTTTGGGAATCAATGACTCGAGTCGCAAAAAGACGAAACCGTCGTCAAGAAAGACATCTAGCGAAAAGGTCATTTTCTTCTTTTGCTTTGGAGCTCTAAATCTAGTTAACTGAGATGTTATGTTTAAGTGCCTCACTCTGGGATACTTGAGGCTGATCAAACGATTCACTAAAAAGATAGAAAAGAACGTCAAAAAAGGCAAAAAAAAATTACGAAAGCCCATCAAAATGGTCAAACTTCCCCCCCATGTCTGAACCTCCACTCCCAATAAAAAGGAAAACCTCTGCTAAAGGCCAAGTTTCTTGTCCTTGGCAGGATCGAAACTTCTTTGTCGTTAATTCTTTCATAATCTTGCTGTGATTGCCTGAGTGGTGTAAAATTCTTGAGTGGTCTCAGTTGAAGTCGTTGCAATGTCAGAATGTGAGACCAAATTTTAATTATTTGAGACCTTCAATATTGAAGTTCCTGAAATTTGATGTGGCAACTTAATGTTCATCACTCTTTTGAGTACTGACTTGTCTTCTGGAGTTTGTACAAATATGGTCTCCCAGGCAGTGTTATTCGGTTTTTTCTGTTTTCAATTCTAATCATAGATATATTATTTTGCCCTGATATTAAAATCATGATTCAATTCTCAGGTGACAGTTATGAATGATCCCTTGAAATTCCTGCCTATCGATGTCACAAAAATACGAGCACAAGATGTCATTGTGGTGGCAGCAGTTTGCATTGCCGTATTTGTGTTCAGAGCTCCTAATGTTTGGGAGTTTCAGCCTTCCTGGCAGCTAGACACTGTTTCTGATATCAAATACCAAACAGGGAAAAACAGGTTGTAAGTAGTACTGCCGTGCAAGTGCAGTTTTTAAAGTCCAGTCAAATTATAATTTTTAGAGACATCACACTTCACATTACAACAATGCAGACAATATAAACAGGAACATATTAAGTAATTGTTTTTCTTGCACATCTATTTGCCCTCTTTGCATGAAGTCCTTGAACACAGGTTATCTTTTTCACATTTATCTCACAAAATACATAGTTCCAGAATCCATTATTTAAAATAATATTCTAAGTTAGTTTAACTGAATTATATTTGTATAACATCAACTTCTGTTGCACACAAAAGAACTTAAAGTGCCACTGAAAATTAAATTTACTTATTTGATAAAAATGTACCGGTATGTATTATTTACAGGCCTCTGCCCATTATTACAGATCTAGATAGTGATGGAATTAATGGTAAGCTATTACCCATTGAGTTACATTTGTTTTGTTCAACAGTAGCTCTGTTTTCTGTCTACCAATCAGCTGTGGGATTAACTTTTTTATTGTCATTTTAATAGAGTTGGTCATTGCGACTGAGGATTCAAGACTTAAAGTATTGATGCTACCTCCGCAGGAAGACCATGAGTTGCCATCCACTCTACCTCATCTTCACTTAAAGGTACTAAAAAATGTCTAGTTGCCATGGAGTAAATTACGTGTTATGAATTTTCCTTGCTGCTAATCTGTAACATGATCTTTCCAGACAGAAGTGATGCTTGAAAGTAATTCATCCAAACCAGCTTTGCCTGTAGCTCTTGGAGCTGGATGTGAACGTAGAAGTACTTCATCCCTTGATGTTTGTCATCAGGTGATGTGTACTCTTTTATTTTTTAGTGTGTGTTTGTTTGTTTGTTTGTTTGTTTGTTTGTTTCATTAGACACACATTTAGATGTTGTTTTGCTCTCACTAGGTCATAATTTCTCCAATAAAATTCAATTTTTTTGGCAGTAGGACACTTTTTGGCCATTTTTTTTTTTTTTTTTTTGCGGTATCAATATTGTTTACTGGGTGTTATGCTGCTCAAGCCAAGGCCATGTAATATCCAAGGTGTCTCTCAAGATAAAACACCTTGTGGCAGGACAGACTATGCACTATTCTTTGATGCATCAATTCATCAACCAAAGACATGTTTGTCAATTCCACAACATTTTATGCATTGGAAACAGTACAGCATAGCATTATTATATATTACAGTTGAAAATATAAATTATGTGATGAACAATAGAAACAACATCTATAACTGTTCAAAGACAAAAGCATTCTTGAGTTTAGATTTGACGATTTTATTACACATCTAGTGTGATTTTTTTTTTTTTACAAAATTTTCAGTTTGAACAATATTTCCAACAATATTAAACACTTCATTTCAAAAATGATGGTTGATTCAAAGCTCAAGATAGCAGTTAGCTCACTCTGCTAACATCCCTTGGAATCCAAGATAGCGACTGACTTTTAGTGATTTCTTTATGTTTGTAGATTTTAGTGGTTGTAACAGATGATGGGGTAGTGCATTGTTTCACAGATCAACTGGAGCTTATGTGGAAGGCTAACATATTCACAGACCATAAACTTTCAGATTTAGGATATTTCAAGTAAGTTGCTATTGATAGTCCATGCTGTTTTTGTTTTGATCTTCAACCAGGACTGCCATTTAACTGTGGAAGATAACTGACCATACAGCAAAAGATAACCTCCTTGTGGTGTCATCTTTTAGTCACAAATTTCTGATCTTCCTCACTGCAGTTCTACCCTGTGAGCAGTTGGTTTCTCCTGCACCAAACGAGAAACCAACTGCTCACAGGGTACTGCAGTTCAGTTGCCTATCATCATAGTTTAAAATGATCCTGACCCGCAGGGTGCAAAGAAAACCACTTTTCAGGCTGGTCCTTTGGTCAATCTCAAATAATGAAGTAGTGACCCAGAAATCATTCTCACTAGCCCTAGAACATTGCATCTGTCACAGAGTTTCTGTAATTTAAATTTTTGGCAAAAATGATCCAAAGAATTTGTTTCCTAAGAAATTTCATTGTGCAGTTCCAGAAAATATCCATACTCCCCCCGCCCCCTTAGAAAATTTGCAGGGGTTGGAGGGGGTCTAAGAAAAAATCCATCACATGGGGGAGATATGGAAATTTTCTAAAACTACACAATTGCTATTGGGTAAGTGATGGACAAAATCCAATAGTCCAGCTGGAAGATCCACTAGGCCCTGGCTATCAGACAGGACTTTCTTTCCACAATGGACTCTGCTCTCAGCTCTCCTTTTGATGTTGGAAAGCATGATGGAATGATACTTTCCCCTTCTTTTGTTCAGACATCAAGCCAACCAAAATCAATTAATCAAATTTTGTTGTTCTTGTTGAGCACCTCATCTGTTTTAAATGTCCACACTGAATATAGTGGTATTAATTCAGATCCTTCTCGTATAGCAGTCGAGAGTATAAGGGTGCAATAATTTACAAATTGACAAGGGGGAGGTGGGAGAAAAGAATGTTCTCCTTTGCTCCCTCCTCTTTTTTTAAGTTGGCTCTGCCTTATACTTCAAGTTTTCACATGCCTCATGGTAGAAAGTTTTTGTGGTTCTAGCGTGTTGTTTTCATCGGCCTTGTTGAATTCTTTAGTAAGCTGTCTTTGATTCATTAAGTGTTTCTTTTCACTGGTTTAGTGTTTACTGATTGATCTTAATTAAAACAATTGCAGGGAGATCGCTGTGCTTGTTGTACCAGACTCTGGTCTGGTTTTGATTGGAGGCAAAATGGCTAATGAACAGCAACAGCAAGACCATTTAGAGTAATGATGTCTAATTTTAGAACTTATTACTAGTTACTGACTTACGATGACTTAGTTAATAGATTAGAATTAAGGGAAAAGGGTTCTTACGTTCTGTTTTTTCTATCTGAATGGTTTCCAACCCATGGATAAGATATAATGTGGTATGTGTGTAAGAGTTTTTGCTAAACGTGATCGACCGCAGGAGACCTGGAGGAGAACAGTGAAAAGGGAGCTTAGGTGGACCTGGGGGGGGCCTTTCTCGAAAGTCCCGGTGCCTTTACGGACCCCAAGCCATATTTATAGATCTAAATCTAAGGAATAGTAGAACGGGTTTTAGCTCAAAGACCAGTCTATTCTGTTTTGCTTCCTGATATTTTTATTTTTTGAATTTCAAACTGAAACTATTTATACCAAGATCTTGAATGTTAACACGGCAAACAAAAAACAGCTTTTCCGAGCCGGTACCTTAGTACGGGGGCTTTCGAGAAAGGGGCCCGTGGGCAAAGGCAGCATCGGCTGCAGAGGAGAGGGTAGCCTGGAGGCAGAGAGTCTTTGGTCCAATTATCCACCCGGCGAACAGACAAATGATGATGGGGAGGAATCTTTGCTAAGGTCTAATTGGTTAAAAATTACGTGAAATTTTTTAATCGATTGAGAAAGACGGTGGTTTTTGGCCATTCAGGAGTCAAACTTAAACCACTTGCGACTCGGCCGATTCACGTTTTCCCGCACTTGCGTCGGTTGGTTGTTTTTGCTTGAGGTTCCTGCAGTCCTTTTAGCTGGGACAAGTTAATACTAATTAGAAATCAAAGTTAAAAGGCTTCAAGTAACATTTTGCTGAGTTCTTGTGCGAGCAATGTTTTGTTTACTAATGTGCTGTGTTGCAGTTCGTTGCCTAATTCGAATTGTTTAGGGAAAATATGTTTCTCAAACTTGTCCCACCACAACAAATGAATAACGATCACAAACTTTCTCTTATCTGTAGGCATAACCATCGACACAACTTGTCCACTGGTCTTACTGCAGAGGAGGTGGCTAAACTACCACCACGACGCCATCGTAGTGTTAAAACGGTTGGTAATAATTTGTACGCAGTCCCTGTTTAACTTCCTTGATCATCTGGCTAGAAGAAAAAAATGCGCTTTACGCTTCTTGCTTGCTTCTTGATCCCTACATACATTTCGTAGTTAGCCAATCAGAAGCCGTGCCTACCGTCCTGATATCCTGCGATTTCAAGTCACTGATCTCATATAGGATATTACGGTCACTTTCAAGTGAAGTAGCCTTGACTAGACCAAACTCGCCTGATATGCCGCCGAAGCGTACCAAAAAGGTACCATCATTTATTAGAAATATCAGGCATGATTTAAAAGGCGATGTTAAAAGAATGCACATTAGCCCACCGCCTTGTTGGCTCAGTTTGTAGTTTTACTGTGTAGGAGGTCGAGAGTTCGAGCCCCATACCGGACCAACACTCAGGGTCTTAAAATAAGTGAGGAGAGTGTGCTACCTTTGTAAATTACGTCTGTAAATGGTTAATTGGATAAGAACTATAAATCATAGGTCCCGTCTCCCACATATTCTGTATACGTGATTATCAGAGGACGTTAGAGAACCCACACGCTCATCGCAAAGGGTAGGGTACGTAGTTCCCGGATGTTGTGGTCTGACCAGTCACCTTGTCTCAGGGGTTGGTGCTTCACATAGGGTAAACCTCATTGCACCTTTCGCCCGTGGACAGAATTGTCCAGGAAAATTGCTATCATGATGTCTATGTCTAAATGCAATACATGACGATTCCTCTTGTGCAAGAGCCGCTCTTTTGTAACTGTTGGCCTTTACCACGGTGCTTAAGCTGAACAACGAGCTTGCAAACGGGGACATGTTAATCTACAATCATGGACAAAAGTCTTGGGACAAATTTGCACTTTTCGCGCTTTTGCGCACAAGCCAGACTCTAAATAAATACAACTTCACCTGCCTAACCTCGCCCCCCGCCCCTCAAAAATTGAAAATTACTACCTGCAATTTCTTCTGACTTTCAACATTGTATGGGGTGGGGAGGGGAACAGTAACGCGTTTTTAAAAGGAAAGCAGCACTTTTTTCAAACTTCAGTAATAAAACACAGATAATTCGGTAAATTGAATAAGTGTCCCAAGGACTTTTGTCCACGATTGTAGTTTAACTGTCTGTCGCTTATTTTTTGGTCAACGGCAGGTGACAGAAGAAAAGGAACACTTTTCAACGTACGCCTTTGACAGCAAAACAGGGGCGGCCCGCTGGAAACACGAACCAGGGGACTATGAAACAGACAGAATATCCAGAGAGGTACTGATATCAACTTTACTAACTGGGCTTAATTTACTATCGAGATTGTCGGGAAAACAAGTACAAAGTTAACGTTAATTGAAAGCGTAAATGGTTAAGAGAGGAACTGGGAGGGATCAGTTTCTTTCCCAAGAGCTCGACCCAGACCTCTCGTCTCAATAATCCAGTCCACCGCGCCTCCCTCTCACATTCTTTTCTGATTATTTCCCGGCAGGATCTTGTGTCAGCTTACCATTTCAAGCTGGCTCTTCATTCCAGTCAGTACCACGTGGGTGAAGTTCACTGGAGTCAATACTCCGACTCACTAATCGCGTCTTTACCCTACAGATGGCAACATCCCGCCGACACTGAGCTACAAACAGCTCACTTTGTTAAAAAGCACCCCGCACCCCCATCCAAAACACCAAGAAAAGATTTTAAAACAAGCGATGGACCACACTTGAAAAGAGAAAAGCCAAACGCTGTGGTTATAAAACGTGAAAAGTCCATTGAGGTGTTAAGCCTCGACTCTGGGCAACCCCTCTGTTCCTACCCAGTCTCCAAGGATGTCACAAGTGTAGGTGACGTAAACGGCGACAACGTCATAGATCACGTGACAACCTATTTTACGTCAGAGAGTGTTGTCCAATCAGAAATCAGTCCGTGTTCTGCTGTTGTGACGTCAGGAGCAAAGACTTTGTTCAGTGGGTCTATTTGCCGCGCTACTTCGACATTGGGAAATTTTTTTGATTCGATCGATGAGGCAGATTTCCGAGATGAACCCATGCCAGTGTCTCCGTTGCTTGTGCCAAGTCCGCCGGACAGAACAGGGATTTTCAGCCATCTGTCAGGGAAGACGTTTAAGCGACAGAGCATCCGAAGTTTTGATAGTGTCTTTGTAGTTGCGTCCGGACTACTGACGAGTTTTGGACCGTACGGAGAATTTAATTGGCAGGTATGATCTTGAATTTGCGAATCTATATGTCTGGATTTATGAAAACCGTGTTAAAGAAATTTCTCCCTGCTTTAAGTGTTTTTTTTTCCTGTAAAGAAGACGATCGAAAAGTCAAAAGGAATTTTCCTCTGCTCTCTTTTCTTCCTTTTTGTACTCTTTCCCTTTTTGGGGTCGCTTAGAGTAATTTTTGGGCCTTTAGGGGTCGTAAAACCTAAGTGTGTAGCACACTAAGGGAAAAAAAAAAACCGCACTTTTCTTTAACCATGTTTTCATAAATCCAGTCGTATATAACTGGACATGGTGAGTCAAATGTAACTTATGGTTTTTAGTGGACAAACCCAAACCCTCGCGGAATCTCTCTTTAAGCATTGTTTCTTTGATAGAGATGACTGGTTGGTGGAGCTCTTTTCCGAAGGGCAACCCTCCTGTACCTTGCAGTAACGTCAGCGCCTTAAGATGACTAGGGCCTGACTTTTTCTATCTTTCCAAAGATACCAGTACACCGTAAGTCAAACATGAACGTGTTAAAGCGACCTTTTTGGGGAACTAGCAGATCACACCAACACTCTCTTATTTAGTTGCTCACTTTTAATTTCCAATGATCTCTTTTCAACTTCTGCTCTTGACAAACTTTATTCAACTCTGGTCATTGCAACTCCGATGCGTAGGTTTGGCCCGCGCTCTTATATCTGGATCACACCCGTGCTGTCAATCAGCTGTCTAATCCATCAAATTCGGAAATCAACGCTGATGTCAGTACATGCGCAGTGTTTTACTAGCATAAATGCGGCTGTGCCGTATGTCACCCTAGGTATGTGCCCTCGCAGAATTTACTTAGTGAAAAATCTTTTCATTCCTGAATTTCCACTATCAAGCGTAGGGTGTATGATCCAAATAAAACAGCACGTACAATATAAAAATTATCAAGAATAAGTTTACAGAATAAAATCAAGGAAAGGTGCCAAGGTCTCTAATGAAAGTTTTTGTTGAAAATTCTGTACGTCTTAAGTGTTACAAGAAATAGGTTTGCAAACTCCCAGCTTCGTGGGCGGGATTTCCAGTTAGAACTATCCATCTCATTAAGTGAACGTGCTCTTGGTACAAACACATTCTAACGAGGTGCCGCTGCTATTGCAAAGAATCTCTTCTTTATTTGGGTCGAAGTGTGAACTAGGAATAAAGTAATTAAACATCGCTATCAAACTCCCTGAAAAGATCAGTAAAAAGAGCAAGGTTTGACTGAAAAATTGGATAGGAGACTAAAAATAAGTGGAGTCCAAAACGACTTATTCCAAAAAGAGCGCTTCCAAATCTAGATTTCAATTTTTATTTCATTTTCTCGATCGACACCCGCGAGTAAACAAACGAGTTGCTGGACAACGCAGCTGGACCGAAGACATGTAGTGCAGTAACGGTGCTCGCAGAAATGAATGTACCAAGGTATTTTACCAAGAATCGGCTAACAAATTATTTAAGTAGATACTGCATTCAAAATAGTTAAGTTACACGGTACCATTTCCAGTGCAACAACAGCTAAGTAATTTACACATTTTTCGCTGAAGAACGTGTTCCTATTTCTATAAACATTACCATTACCTTTTGACCCATTATTACTCACGAATATATATGGTTGGGAATTTCTATCTTGCTTGCATTGTTATTGTTTTACAAACGTTTTAGCTAAAAAAGAGACTTGAAAACCTTGGCCAAGCTTTTTAGTCCTCCTCAATCGTCTCTAATCTTCATTCGTTTCCACACTCCAAACGCTTCAAAGAGAGCTTCCGGAGAAAATTAAATGCAAGCTTCTAAAAATTGGTAATGCTTGTGTTTGTTTGGTTCTTTATTTTTTCCTACATTTTTTTTTTTTGTCATCACAATTGATTTTAAACTCAAGTCGAACACTTGATATCTTATATTTCAGCATATGCATCGAACGCAGGATCTCTGGGTTAAATGCAAATGCTAAAATTTAACTAGATGTAATTAAAACCAGAAAAAACGAGAAGAAAAATACAGAAACTTCAACTGGAAGCAAACTACAGGCATTTCAACTGGAAGCAATTGGAGCATATGAACACACAGAAAAAAAAGAAAGAAAGAAAAGAAAGCTACATGACATGTAGACGTGTGTTTTTCTATTTCTCTTTTCCTGTTTTCTTTTTTTTATATATGTAAATTGCAGAGAAAAAGAAAGAACGAAAAGAAAGCTACATGACATGAGCACGTGTGTGTGTTTCTATTTCTCTTTTCCTGTTTTCTTTTTTATATATATGTAAATTGCAGAGAAAAAGAAAGAAAGAAAAGAAAGCTACATGACATGAGCACGTGTGTGTTTTTCTATTTCTCTTTTCCTGTTTTCTTTTTTATATATATGTAAATTACAGAGAAAAAGAAAGAAAGAAAAGAAAGCTACATGACATGAGCACGTGTGTGTGTTTCTATTTCTCTTTTCCTGTTTTATTTTTTTATATCTAAATCGACAGAAAAAAAAAAGAGTGTGTGTGTGTGTGGTAGTGTATTGTTGTTTTTTGTGATTTTTTTTTTCTGGTTTTAATTAAATGGTTGTAAATACAGTGTAATCCCGCCTTATCACCTCTTTATTTCGACCACTTTATTTTGGTCCAACAAAATCTCAGTTAGTCATTTTATTATATAAAGAACTTCATTAACACGGCCACCCCGTTAAAACGGCCAGATTTTTGTGGCCCGTTGGTGACCGGATTAACGGGGTTACACTGTAGTGTATTACATCACAGGGTTAAGTAATGTAATATGATGTAAATAAAGTGAAAAAAGAAAAGAGAGCGTGCTCTTGTATTGTAGGTAACGTAATTATTTTTGTGTCGTGTCATGGTAAGTGGTGTAAGTATCCAGTATTGAATTGTAAGTAGCTCTTCCCCTTTGTTGTAAAAAATATATCTATTTTGTACAGATAAAAGTCAGTATCAGATTTACGTACTATACAAATTATCGATTATTATTTTAAAAAAAGAATAACATCTTAAATATCAACATCTCAAAGGCAGTGTTTAATTTTTTTTTCCCTCATAGGTAGACACAGGTGCTTCGTGGGCAAACTACAAACCGTCCGAAAGAAAGCCAGGAGCAGTTTTTGTGCCAAACATTCAAGCTGTTTCCACATCAGTAGGGGGAATAAAAGTAAGATCCTCAATATGCTGGTGATTTCAAACAAATATTCTATCAGCTGTCTCTCTTCTCTTCTCTTCTCTTCTCTTTTCTCTTCTCTTCTCTTCTCTTCTCTTCTCTTCTCTTCTCTTCTCTTCTC